GATTTTGTTGATCCTTTCAAAGAACCAGCTTTTAGTCTTGTTAATTATTTTGTTTTTCTATTCTCTTATTTCATTTAATTCTGCTCTAATTGTTATTATTTCCTTTTTTCTGGCGCCAGAGGACTTCTTTTGCTGCTCTTTTTTTACTTGTTCCAGTTGTAGGGTTAATGTTTTGATTTTGGCCCTTTCTTCTTTTGGATGTGTGCATTTATTGCTATAAACTGACCTCTGAGCACTTCTTTTGCTGTGTCCCAAAGGTTCTGGTAAGATATGTTTTCATTCTCATTTCATTCTGTGAATTTCTCTATTTCATCCTTGATTTCTTCTATAACCCCAGTAGTTTTTGAGCAAGGTGTTGTTCAGTTTCCATGTGTTTGATTTTTTCCCCTTGTTCTTTCTGTTATTGATTTCTACTTTTATGGCTTTGCGGTCAGAAAAGATGCTTTGTAATATTTCGATGCTTTGGATTCTGTTAAGGCTTGCTTTATGGCTTAATATGTGGTCTATTCTGGAGAACGTTCCATGTGCACTGGAAAAGAAAGTATACTTGGCTGCTGTTGGGTGGAGTGTTCTGTATATGTCTATGAGATCAAGTGGGTTGATTGTGGCATTTAGGTCTTCCCTGTCTTTATTGAGCTTCTTTGTGGATGTTCTGTCCTTCACCGAACGTGGTGTGTTGGTCTTCTACTATTATTATGGAGCTGTCTGTCTCTCTTTTCAATGCTGTTGGAGTTTGTTTTATGTATTTTGGAGCCCTGTTGTTGGGTGCGTAAATATTTAGTATAGTTATGTCCTCCTGGTTTATTGACCCTTTAATCATTATATAATGTCATTTCTTATCCTCTGTGGTGGATTTTACCTTAAAGTCTATTTTGTCAGAGATTAATATTTTCAGTCCTGCTCTTTTTTGATTGTTGTTTGCTTGATATATTTTTTTCCATCCTTTGAGTTTTAGTTTGTTTGTGTCTTTAAATCTAAGGTGTGTCTCTTGTAGACAGCATATAGACGAATCGTGTTTTTTCAATCCATTCTGCCACTCTCTGTCTCTTTATTGGTGTATTTAGTCCATTTACATTCAGTGTAATTATTGATAGGTATGAGTTTAGTGCTGTCATTTTGATGTCTTTTTGTGTGTGTTGTTGACACTTTGTTCCACCTAATTTTCTGTGCTGAGTCATTTTTCTTTATGTATTTTCTTTTCATCTTTTTCATTGTTGTAGATTTTGTATTTGCTGAGTCTTTATGTTTTTCTTGTTTTGATGTGTATTATTGTTAGTTTCCTTTGTGATTACCTTAATATTTACCCCTATTATTCTAAGTTTAAACCACTCTTTTATTTCTTTTATTGCCTTGATTTCCTCTCCATATGAAAGATCTATGACTACATTTTTTAGTTCCTCTTTTTTGTTTTAATGTTGTCATCTTTTTATATTGACGTCTCTGTTTCCCTATTTTCAGTGTTTTAGCTTTGATTTATTTCTGTGACTTCCATATGTGGGTTGATATCTGGTTGCTCCGTCCTGTGTTCTGGTCTTGGGTTGTTATTTGATGTTATGGATTTTCTAACATTTAGTATTTCTTGCAGTTTTGTTTTGGTTTTTGCAAATTCCCTAAACTTCTGTTTACCTGGAAATGCCTAATTTCACTGTAATATTTGATAGTTTTGCTAGCTATATAATTCATGGCTGGTAATTTTTTTTTCTTCAATGCTTTATATATGTCATCCCCATTGCCTTCTTGCCTGCATGGATTCTTCTGAGTGGTCTGAGCTTAGTCTTACTGACTCTGCTTTGTAGATGAGTTTTTGTTTATCCCTAGCTGCTCTTAAAATTCTCTCTTTATCTTTGATTTTGGCAAGTTTGATTATAATATGTCTTGGTGACTTTCTTTTGGGATCTACCTTATGTGGGGTTTGATGAACGTCTTGGATAGGTATCTTCTCATCTTTCATGATATCAGGGAAATTTTCTGCCAACAAATCTTCAGAAATTATCTCTGTATTTTCTACTATCCCCCCCGCCCGCCTTTTCTGGTACTTCAATCACTCGTAGGTTATTCCTCTTCATAGATTCCCACATAATTCTTATGGTTTCTTCATTTTTTAAAATCCCTCTATCTGATTTTTCCTCAAATAAGTTAGTATCAAGTGCTTTATTTTCAGTCTCACTAATTCTGACTTCCATTGCCTCAGTTCTGCTCCTATGACTTTCTGTTCAGTTGTCTAATTCTGAAATTTTATTGTTAATCTTCTGGATTTCTGATTGCTGTCTCTCTATGGATTCTTGCAGCCTGTTAAATTTGTCACTTTGCTCTTCTCTAATCTTCTTAAGTTCCTGTATTGCTTTGTCTGTGTTCCTTGGCTGGTTCTGTTTTGTCTGATCTCCTTAAGAGTTCTGTATATTAATCTTTTGTATTCTGCCTCCGGTAATTCCAAGAAATTCTCTTCCTACAGAAGATTTCTTGATTCTTTGTTTTCGGGGCTTGTTGAAGCCATCATGGCCTGCCTCTTTATGTGATTTAATGTCGACTGTTGTCTGCGAGCCATCAATAAGTTATTATATTTATTTATTTTGTTTGCTTACTGTGTCCTAGTTCTTGTTTTGATATGCCCAAATAGGCTGCTCGTGTGAGTTAGTTTGATTATTGGCGCCTTTGTAGCTCTCATGCCCTGTCACCAGGGGGTTAGATCTGTTACTAGGTATGTGAGCCCAGGAGTCTGTTTACTTTTCTTGTATGGATTCAGCTTAGGTGTCCAGGTAGTTGGTCACCAAGAGTGTGGTTTAGGCTTTCACAGGCCTAGACAGGCATGGGTGATTGTGTAGGCACAGGTATCTGGCTGCAGTAGGGGGTCACGCACTGAGCAAGGCAGGGGGCTGATAGCTGCCCCTTAGTGTCTGAGAGGAAAGCGTGTCCCTGTTGCCTAGAGCACATAGGTGGGTGGGTTTTGTACCCGCACTGTGAGCATCCTGTGCTGTTGGCTATAAGGTCTGGGAGGCACGACTTATTCTTGGACCTGTCGTGGGTGGCTAGGTAGGGTGGGTGGAGCCACCAGTCCTCAGGCCACTGATGTGGGTAGGTGAGGACCCTGCTTAATGGGCAGAGCAGTGTCAAATGTCATGAACTTGCCACTCTACCATATAGCGGATACAGTTGAAGTTAAGCTTCAGGTATATACCCTGTTGTACTGTTGTAATGAGGGCCTATGCTGTTGAAATGGGCCCACGCAGGTCTATGCAGGGGTGAAAGGCATTCAAAGTCCATGGACCCTTTTATGCCTGTGCCTAGGCAAAGGTGGTATGCCTACCCTGAGTTCCCAGCTTAGGGGAGCAGGCAGAGTATTTTTTCCTGTTTGTGAATTTGTTCCCTCTGCAAGGCTGGGAGAATGGCTCAGGGTGCGTGATGGGTCCTACTTCTGACTTAGGGGACTCGGCAGTCACTGAAGCTGGCCTGGGACCTGGTGCAGAGCAGGGAGGGGGCAGGTAAATGAGAGAGAGGTTTTTCCCAAAGGGGGTGGTTTTTGGTCTGCGTGGTAGGTTAGACACATGTAGTTATCTTTTGCTGATTGAGCTCCACTTCTCACTGGTTCTGGAGGCCAGAGTAGACTCTGCTGCTAGGTGTCTCCCAATGTGGAAAACACCTCTCAAGTGCCACTGCTTGCCTCACTGTGCACACCAGCCAAACCGACCTGAAGGGTGCTGCCTCCCACCTGGTCAGGTCTGGCAACTCCTTGCTGCTTCTCAACTGTTTCTCCCTCCCCTTGCCACTCAGCCCGATTCTTCAGCTTTGCCTTCGATGTTCAGGGCTCCTAGATTGTCATATATAATCGATTCACTTGGTTTTTTGGGTCTTTGTTGTAAGAGGGAACACAGGAAGCATCTGACTACTCAGCCATCTTGGCCCTGCCCCCACATTTCTTATTGAGACACCATAAGTGCTTTAGTTGATAGAGATCTACAGTTATTTATGACAATGAGTAAAATGTACTTCATTCTTTTAGTGCTGACTTTGTAGTCTGTCCTGTATGTGGATCCCAACCCAGTGCTGCTTGTCAGCCACTCCTCATTATCTGAGCTCTAGGGAAAGCTGATGGCAGATGTTTTAGAGAAATAAAAGGTTTAAGAATGATTTTATAGCTGGATTTAGTACATGAGGCAAGCACTACATCTCTAGGGGTTTTTTATTTTAATGATAGATGGCCCTGACCTGCCCAGAAGCTGGGAATCTTTTCTTTGTATCTTGTTGACATAATAAAGTATGTTTTTTTGGAGGGAGTGGGGTGGGTGGGGTTAACAATAGAAAACTTGATAAAGAAGGATGAAGAATAATTTTCTAAAAAGGAGAAGTAGTTAGCAAAATATGATGGTAATATGAAGACATGCGTCAGCATCAAATTCCATTGACTGTTATTTTATTAATGGAGTAGAGCTTTTAATCTTCATTTTGAAAGGATAAAATTGTAGCTAGCCATGTCTCATGTTAAACGATCTAGACATATTTAAATAGCCTTATAAAAGATAACTTTGAGGATGATTATATGCCAAAAATCCCTAATGCATTTTAAATAAGATTTAATTAAATATTATGCATTCATCAAAAATTATAAAGACTAATGATATGGACACATTTTTATAATACAACGTTACACTAAAAAGACAGTATGAAAATTATATATCTTAGTGTAGTGTGCCTAAAAATGTTTTTTCTTGGACAAGCAGCATCAACATCACTTGGGAACTCATTAGAAATGTAAATTCTTGCTCCCACCCCAGATCCAGGAAATAAGAAACTAGTGGTGGTGCCCAGCAATCTGTGTTTTAACAAATTGTCACTCAATCTGGGAACCACTGCCTAGTAGAGCGCAACTTTCATCCTGTCCCAACTAGAAAAATAAGTGTTATTTTTAAAAAATACAACTAATTTATGAAGCATTGATTTATACACATTTTCAAGATACATGGGCAGCTTAAAGCCAAGCATTGATTTTTGTTTTTTCCTTTTAGGTGGAACGAGGAAGCCCCAAGAGCTGTTTTCTGTTTTTGGGGTCTATACTCTGTGAAGTCAATTGGGTTAGTGTGCTCTCTGATGCCTGGAATCCCAATCCCCGCCCTGAAACTAGAAGCATGATTGTCTGTCTCCTCTTCATGATGATTTTATTGGCAAAGGAAGATCAACTAGTAGACCAGACAGTAAGTCTGAAGCTTATGATAAAGACTTGGCAAGACTCCCTAGAGCCTCACCTTCTAGCGTGTTTCTGTAATGCCTGTCAGTGTGAATATGCTTAGCGTATGAGATGTGCTTTCACCTAGATGCCTGATTTTCTTGGATAGCTCTTAATCTAATTGTAGATCATGAAGGGAACCACACTGAGTTAGAATATATAAGTCAATTTTATTTTATATTTCATTAATTCCTAGTTTTATCCTGTATATACTTCTTCAAGTCAGTTTTGGCCTGTATCACTTACAGTTTTTTCTTTGAGTGTATGAGTTTTACTTCTTTCTTAGGCAATTGCTTCCATTTGTCTGTTTGCCATAGAGTAAATAACTGCTTTCTTAATTCTTCAGATTATAAATTGAGATAGGATTCAAGTTAATTTCTAAAATATGTTAATTTGCCACCCATTCCTGATAAAAACTCTCAATAAAACAGCAGTAGAAGGGAAATTCATCAGCATAATAAAGAACATCTATACAAAACCAACAGCCAACATCAGTCTCAGTGGAGAGGCTGAAAACATTCCCCCTGAGAATGGGAACAAGACAAGGATGCCCTTTATCACCACTTCTATTTAACATTGTGGTGGAAGCCCTGGCTAGAGCAATTAGGCAAGAAAAAGAAATAAAAGGCATCCAGATTGATAAGGAAGAAGTAAAACTATCCCTGTTCACGGATGGTATGATACTATACATAGAGAACCCTAAAGACTCCACAAGAAAACTACTGGAACTAATAGAAGGATTCAGCAGAGTAGCTGGATACAAGATAAACATAGAAAAATCATTTGGATTCCGATACACCAATAAAGAGAACTACGAAAAGGAAATCAGGAAAGTAATACCATTTATAATAGCCCCTAAAAAAAAAAGGTACTTAGGAATAAATCTAACCAAGGACCTATACAAAGAAAACTACAAAACACTACTGCAAGAAATCAAATGAGACCTCCATAAATGGAAAAACATGGATAGGTAGACTCAACATTGTGAAAATGTCAATTCTACCCGAAGCAATCTGCAAATACAATGCAATCCCAATCCAGATACCAGCAGCATTCCTTAACGAGATGGAAAAACTAATCATTAACTTTATATGGAAAGGAAAGAGGCCCTGCATAAGTAAAACATTATTGAAGAAGAACAAAGTAGGAGGCCTCTCACTACCTGATGTCAGAACTTACTATACAGCTATGGTAGTCAAGACAGCCTGGTACTGGTACAATGACAGATACATTGACCAGTGGAACAGAATCGAGAACCCAGATGTAAATCTGTCCACCTACGAGGTCACCTGATCTTTGACAAAGCCTCAAAGTCCATTAAATGGGGAAAAGACAGTTTTTTTTTTAACAAATGATGTTGGCAAAACTAGATGTCCATCTGTAAAAAATGAAACAGGACCCATACTTCACACCATACACAAAAACTAATTCAAAATGGATCAAAGGCCTAAATATAAAATCAAAAAGATGATGGAAGAAAAATAGGGTCAATGCTAGGAGCCCTAATATACAGCATAAACAGGATACAAACCATAACTAACAATATACAGACACCAGAAGAAAAGCTAGGTAACTGGGATCTCCTAAAAATTAAGCACTTATACTCATCAAAAGACTTCAAAAGAGTAAAAGGAGAACCTACAGACTGGGAAAAAAATTTTGGCTATGACATACCAGACAAAATCTCCAAAATCCATTGGAAAATCTAACACCTTTACAACAAAAAGACAAATAGTCCAATTAAAGAATGGGCAAAGGATATGAACAGACACTTCACCAAAGAAGACATTCAGGTGGCTAACTAGACATGTGAGGAAATGCTCAAGATCGATAGCCATTAGAGAAATGCAAATCAAAACTATAATGAGATACATTTCACCTCAGCATTACTGGCACTAATTAAAAAAACAGAAAATAACAAATGTTGGAGAGGCTGTGGGGAGGTTGGAACTCTTAGGCTAGGCACTGCTGGTAGGAATGCAAAATGGAACAACCACTTCGGAAAATGATATGGCGCTTCCTTAAAAAGCTAGAAATAGAACTACCATATGAACCAGCAGTCCCACTCTTAGGAATATATCCTAGAGAAATAAGAGCCGTCACACAAATAGACATATGCACACCCATGTTCATTGCAGCATTCTTGACAATAGCAAAAAGATGCAAACAACCTAAGTGTCCATCAACAGATGAATGGATAAATAAACTATGATACTTACACACAGTGGAATACTATGCAATGATGAAGAAAAATGATGGATCTGCGAAACATCTCCCAACACGGATGAATCTAGAGGACATTATGTTGAGTGAAATAAGTCAATTACAAAAGGACAAATACTGTATGAGATCACTATTGTAAAAACTCATGAAATGGTTTACACACAGAAAAAAACAATTTTTAATGGTTACAAGGGAGGAGAGGAGCAGTGATGGAAAAACACTAACTAGACAATAGGCAATAGATAACTTTGGTGAAGGATAAGACAGTATGCAATACTGGGGAAGTCGTTACAACTTGACCAAGGCAAAATCACAGAAACTTCATAGACATGTCCAAACTCCCTGAGGGACCAAGTTACTGGGCTGAGGACTGGGGACCATGGTCTCGGGGGACATCTGGTTCAATTGGAATTGCATAGTTTATAAAGAAAATGTTCTATATTTCTACTTTGGTGAGTAGAGTCTGAGGTCTTAAAAGCTTGTGAGCAGCCATCCTAAGACACATCTGCTGGTCCCATCCCATTTGGAGCAAAGGAGAATGAAGAAAACCAAAGACACAAGGGAAAGATTAGTTCAAAGGAGTAATGGACCACAACTGCCAGTCTCCACCAGACTGAGACCAGAATAACTAGATGGTGCCTGGCTACCACCACTGACTGCTCTTACAGGGATCACAATTGAGGGTCCAGGACAGCGCGAGAGAACAATGTAGAACAAAATTCAAACTCATAAAAAAAGACCAGACTTACTGAGCTGACAGAGACTGGAGAAACCCTGAGAGTATGGCCCCTGGACAACCCAGCACTGAAGTTACCCCTGAAGTTCACCCTTCAGCCAAAGATTGGACTGGCCTATAAGACAAATAATAACACACACTGTTCAACCATGTATATGAGACTAAATGGGCACACCAGCCCAAAGGCAAAAACAAGAAGGCAGGGAGGGGCAAGAAAACTGGATGAATGGAAATGGGAACCCGAGGTTGAGAAAGAGAGAGTGTTGACACATCATGGGGTTGGCAACCAATGTCACAAAGCAATTTGTGTATTAATTGTTTAATGAGAAACTAATTTGCTCTGTAAACTTTCACCTAAAGCACCAAAGAGGGGAAAAAAAGATGGAAAATAAGTGCTGGCAAGAATATGGAGAAATTGGAACATTGCTGATGGGAATGTAAAATGGAACAACTGCTCTCAGTGGTTCCTCAATAAATTAAACATAGAATTTCTTTATAATTCAGAATTCCACTCCTATAACCCAAAAGAATCGAAAACAGGTGCCCAAACAAAACTTACAAACAAACGTTCATAGCAGCAATATTTACAATGGCCAAAAGGTAGAAACTACCCAAATGTCCATCAACAGATAAGTGAATAAACAAATTGTGGTGTATGGAATATACAGTGAAATGTTATTAAGCCATGAAAAGGAATGAAGTACTGATTCATACTGTAACATGGATGAATCTTGAAAACATGATACTGAGTGAAAGAAGCCAGACACAAAAGGTCATATATTATATGATTGCATTCATATGAAATATCCAGACGAGGCAAATCTATAAACACAGAAAGCAGATTAGTGGTTGCCAGGGGCTGGGAGGAGTGGGGGCTGGGGAGTGACTGCTTAACGGATATGAGATTTTCCTTTTGGGATGATAAAAATGTTCTAGAACTAGATAGTGGTGATGGTTACATAATGTTATGGGTGTACTAAATGCCACTGAATTGTACATTTTAAAGTGGTTAAAATGGTAAATTTCATGTTGTTTGCATTTTACCACAATAAAAAAGAATTAGAATATGTATATAAAAGAAATTAAACCATTCCATGTCCAAATTATCATTGTAAAATTTAGTGTAGTTTGATTGTTTCAAATTATGTAGAGATTAGTTCAGAGAAGTTCATATAGAATGCTCACTGTGAACAAAGAATAGTTTGGATCCGTTGTAACATCTGTAATATTTTAGAGTGATGGTATGAACATAAGTTAGACAAAATGCAGTTGTATTTTTGGTTCTTAGTTATTCACTATTTCTTAAGAGAACTGAGTACTTAATTCTAAGGGTCTGGTTTTAGTTTTTTGTTTGTTCGTTTGTTTTTTTCTTTTTTGCATGCATATCCAATAATCCAAAGTCAGTATAAGATAAATTGACTTTGAACATATGCTACAATTCTTAAAGTGTGTTTGGCAGGGACATAAATGAATTCGCTGCCCCTTCTCCCCCAAAAAATGTTAATTTGTTCAGCTATCTTACTCCCTTATGACCAGAAAAAAATGTTTTCCTGTTGTTGTCAGACATACGTTATTTTATAGAATGCCTCCAGATCAGAGAGTTCCTGTGAAAACTGCACTCTGAATACTAATAAATCTTAATATTAATGGGTTTTTGCCAAGACTTTGGCTATTAATTTTACTAGTACTCCTAACTTGAGTAGATTCTAACTTGACACTTTTAACTGTGTTGTGCCTATCATTAGGCTTAGTGGTCAGACTAGTTTGAGATACATATTTCTGGGAGAATAGGGGCTCTGAAACTAAAAGAATATATGTTTCATTTCTAGGATTCGCCTTTACTCAATCTCCTTGGACAGACAAGCTCACTTTCATGGCATCTTGTGGATATTGTGTCATACCAGAGTGTGATAGGTTATTTCAGCAGCCATTATCCGCCGTCCATCATCCTGGCTAAAGAATCTTCTGCTGAATTAATAGTGAAGCTCCTAAAAGTGTCTGCGGGCCTTTCCATTCCAGCTGATGGCCAGAAACATCTTGTAAGTTAAGTGTGTAATTTAAGAGACAGAGAATATTGTTTAGGACCAATTGTAGCATAAATACTACTGAGGACAGCCTTGGACCCAGTGAGTTCACAGCAGAGAAAGTTGGAGGATATGTTTTGTAGTGTACTTATGTTTTGGCCTCCTTCTGGGTGTTTTAGTTTTATTTATCTCTTTTCATAAACCTTTACTTACTAGCAGTGTCTCATCCTGAAGAGTGGTCGAAAGGATTGAGGGCTGGGAGTAGGCAGTTGATTTAGTGATATGAATGTTAATGGCAGCAGAGTAACAGGGAAATTATGAGCGTGAGCTTGAGCAAGCCTCACAAGCCTGGGTCTCCAGTGCACTGCCTTTGTGACTTTGGGCAAGTGCCTTGATTTTCTCATCTGAATTGGAAATAATAATACCCTGCCTTTTGTTGTGAGGAATAAATTAGTTAATGAACCTGGAAGTTTTTAGAAAAGTTCTGGCAAGTGACTGATGTTTGATTAATGCTGTTATTAATGTAGTAAAAAGGAAGAGTGTCCTGCTGGAGTTTGGGAGAATCTGGGTTCTACTCGAAGTGTTACCACAGATTTGCATACCCTTAGACATAGAGACTTTGGGCATTAGATCTTGTGGATTCCTGATCTCTCCTCTCCATTCTCTACCCAAGCAGCCAGTGCAGGACCAGGCTCCTAGGGAGTGCTCATTTGACACTGCTTGTTTGGATTAGTTTGAATGATTCTTCTTTTGTTTGTCAGGATGCAGTTCCAAAATGCCGAGCATTCATTCATCAGATGGTCCAATTTCTCAGTGCCCTGGAGCAAAATGGAAAAATCACCTTTGCAATTCTAGAACAGCAAATGTCTAAGCTGTTAGATGATATCATTATCTTTAACCCACCTGGTAAGTGACTAGTGGGAAATACTGTATTTATTCAGTAACTAAATACCTGCTGGGTCACAAAAGGCCTTGTCATGAAAGAGGATATCCAAATGACCAGTAAAATGAAAAGATGCTAAACCTTGTTAATGATCAAGGAAATGCAAAATAAAACCATAGTGAGATACTGTGACATACCCACCAGAATGGCTAAAATTAAGAAGATTTTAAATACCAAGTGTTGGTATTTAAAACTCTTACATACTGCTGACCACAGAGTAAATTGGTACAATCATTTTTAAAAGTTTAGCATCATCTACTGAAATTTGCATATCCCATGAACCAAACAAAATGTATGCACATGTGTACTGGAAAACATGAACAGGAATGTTCATAGCTTTGTATCTGAGGAGGTCCCAAACTGGAAACAGCCTGTATGTTCAGTAGATGGGATAAATTGTTATATAGTCATAAAATGGAATACACTACAGCAGTGAAAATCTCCCACAACACAGATGATTCTCACGAACGTTTTTATGTTTATTTAAATAGCGTTTGAAAATAGGCAACTGTACTGTGTAGGAAAGCATACTAATGTAAAGCTGGTATAGCGATTGAGTTGGTTAGAATTGGTGAACAAAAAATCAGTTGAAATTTTTAAACATGGCTGCAATATAGATTTATTACAGAAGATAGATAATGTAGTAGTTAAAAATACAGATTCTAGAACCAGATTCTGGCTTCACCACTTAGTAGTTATGAGACTCTGGACAAGTTAAATAATCTCATCTGCAAAATGGGGATAATAACTACACATACTTCATAAGGATCAAATGAGATAATTATCTAAAGTATAAGCAACAGCCTGGCAAGCCAATAACACTCAATGAATTTAAAAAAAAACAAAAGAAAAGAAAAATCACCAGGCATTGCTGGAGAAACTGATCTTGAGTTGGTCGTATGTGATTGGGCCATGAACATTGATTAATACGTGGCCAGGCAAAGAGAAGAAGGGCATTCTAGAAAGATGTTAGTCAGCAGAGTGATAGGATCAGATCTAGTTTTTAGAAAAGCTTCTGTTGGCCATGTTGAAGATGATTAGGAAGGGGAGAGACTGGGATCAGTTAAGAGGTTCAATGCAGTAATTAATTGTTACCTATGAGTCATAATTAAAAGATAAAATTGCCATTCAACTGAAATTCAGAGGTAAGGCTTTTATTACCAAGAATGTTCACACTCATAGAAATAAATACATGGAAAAATATATATGCATACACATACTGTTATTATCTCTCTGAAACTTTTTTTTTTTCTTTTTTAAGTCTTGGCTTGACAGTAAGTAGGTCTTAGAGTAGCACTGTGGGACGAGGTGGCTGAGTGGTTAAGGTGATGAACTGCTAATCCATTGTGCTGTGCATGCATGGGTTCAAATCCCATCCTCGTCGATATCAGTTCTCTGCCTCCCCTGGTGGAGAGTTGCCTTTGGAGCCCTGGTGGCGCAGTGGTTAAGAGCTATGGCTACTAACTTAAAGGTTGGCAGTTTGAATCCACCAGCCACCCCTTGGAAACCCTATGGGGCAGTTCTCCTCTGTCCTGTAGGGTCACTATGAGTCAGAATCGACTGGGCAGCAACAGGCTTGTTGTTTTTTTTCTTTTTTTTTTTGGTATAGTAGTGTTAGGAGCCCTGGTGGCACAGTGGTTAAAAGCTTGGCTGCTAACCAAGAAGTTGGCATTTCGAATCCACTGGCTGCTCCTTGGAAACCCTAAGAGACAGTTCTACTCTGTCCTGTTGTGTTGCTATGAGTCGAAATTGACTTGCTGGTAACAGGTTGTTTTTTTGTTTTTTTGTTTTTTTTTTTAAATAGTAGTTTTAAGTTAGGGTTTATTTGACACTGTGCAGGTAGATTCCCACTGACATAAATACTGAAGTCAGGTTTCTATAAAACAATGTACTACCCAACTCAAGGAGAGCTAGAAATAGTTGGTGAAAATTATGTCTGTTGAATAGTTTCCTCCACAACACTGCAGTGAAACATATTTTCTGTTTTTGATCATGAAAAAGGAATTGACCACAGTGACCTTCTCCACTCATTTGCAGTTAGTTTTCTTGTAGAACAAATTAGCTCTTTTCCTTGTCTCCATTCCCTTTTTACCTCCGATTTTTTGGAAAGACCCATTTATACTGCCATGCTTCTACTCTCCCCACTTTTCTTAAAATCAAAAACCAAAGAAATAAAAGAGCTGCTGTTAAGAACCTCTGAAAAGGTTTTTCCTTTCCTTACTTCTAAATTTAGTTTTAAGTAATAAGTTTTATTCCAAGTAAATCACCCTAGAATATTGACAGCTTTGGCAGGGTGGGGGGAATAATTTATAGAGTGACTTTGTAATTTAGCAAATGACTGCTGAGATCTGTGTATTTGGGTTTCTATGAGGAAAGGTTAGAAAGTAAAGATTAGTTAGGCCTCTTAGGATAAATAAGTTACTTTTTTGCATCAGCCTGTTACATGTCTGTTACAGTATTCGGTGCCACACTGCTTTACCCAAGGAACTTGCAGTACTTCCTACTTTGGCCCTTACAAAGTACTGATGTGCCACATCCTATCCTTTAAAGCTAAGCACCACTACCCAGAGTCTTCCTTCTGGTCCTCTTGGGATCAGTCACTAGAATTGTCAGATCTGCCCAGCAGACAGCAGAGATGGAAGCACTGTTGTTCTCTCAATCACACTTATGTCACCATCGCAGCAGTCTTTCTCAAGTGTGTGTCTGTGTTTCCCACAGACATAGACAGCCAGACCCGCCATATGGCCCTCAGTAGCCTCTTTGTGGAAGTCCTGATGATGATGAACAACGCAACTGTTCCAACTGCTGAGTTCCTCCGGGGCAGTATCCGGACCTGGATTAGCCAGAGAGTGCACGGGCTGGGGGTGCTGCCCCTTTTAACAGCAGCATGCCAGAGCCTGGCTTCCGTCCGCCACATGGCTGAGACCACAGAAGCCTGCATCATGGCCTACTTCAAGGAAGGTAAGAGAATGGTCGTCTCGTGCTCTCCTGTTGGTCTTTTCCAGGGAAGATTAAATCTTTGTCATCATGCTATCTTTTTCTGGAGCCTTTCCTATGAGGGATTGCACCACTTTAACTTCTGCTCTGTAAATGTTGATATTCCAGAGTATATTTTGTCTCATTTGTGAAGATCTTATTTAGCAGAGATCCAGGTCTGTTGGTGCAGTCACATATTTAAAGGGAGGGAATCTCTAATTCATTATTGCATTGGTTTTGGAGTATCAGACCAAGCCTTTTACTATAGGCAGATTGTGTTATGTCACAGACCAAGTCATAGTCCTCAAAACACATGCTATAAACCCACATCTATATAATCATGCTCCATGGTACTAATTTTTCCCCTTTTTTGTCACTTTTGTTAAGATGAGTTTTCATAGAAGTATTTTTATTGCTTCTTGTCACACCTTTTAAACTATTATGAAGAAGTCACCCTGCCCCCAGCCTTCCCTTTATCATTCTTACTCCCTGCCGCTCAATTCTCAGATGCTGTAGAAGACATGGCCTGGTTAAGAAATATTGTGCAGAACAGTAGTTGTCAACTTAATATCCAGGTACACATCATATTGCAGACAGTAGGAGAGAAACAAGGGTGTTGGAGCGAGGATTCCAGGAAGTACACATAATCTGCCGTCTGTCCTATCTCGAGAACTCATGGACAACCCATGTCCACCTGTGGGAGGTGCTGTGCATGTCACCATGTGACTCCCACCCTTACTCCCCCCAAAGGGTTGAGAACCATTAGAGTAACATTCTTGTTCCCAATTCCTTTGTGTTACTAAAATCGAAACTTTTTTTTTTTTTTTTTTATATCTGTGAAACATTTTCAAGGGTTTCAGTTGGGATATGAGTCAAACTAAGCTTATTATGGATAGAGTAGTAATAATTTGCCTTGGAAAAGCATGAGTAGTCACAACACACTTAAAGATGGTACTAGATAAAGTTATAACTCTTAGATGACTGGGGCAGGCAGTGTCTACGAGTGACTTAACTGCTCACAGTATGGTAAGAAAGGTGATTTACAGGTATGCAGCACTGATTCTGATTTCTTGGCCTCGATAGTGGCTAGCCTGGGTGCAGGCATTTAGCCACTGAGGGCTTTCTAATCCCTGAGACACATTCTCCTTTTGAAAGTGGCACCTAGGACCAATGTGAGAAATGGTTTCTTGACACGAAGCTTAAAGTCAAAAGATTTATTGAAATAGTTCATTAATTTGACTTCTTGCTTTTATCTTGATTTCCTTTTTTGGTGTTCTTTTCTTAGACTCCCTTAGTCAAAATGTAGGATGGGGCCCCATTCTGGTGTCCCTTCAAGTTCCTGAGCTCACCGTAGAAGAATTTCTGCAGGAGTGCCTGTCCCTGGGCAGTTACTTGACTCTTTATGTCTACTTGCTTCAGTGTTTAAATAGTGAACAGACTCTAAGGAATGACATGAAAGTGCTGCTCATCTTAAGCAAGTGGTTGGAACAGGTGTATCCAAGGTTTGTTGGCTCCCTGGCTGCTGTATCAAACTCATTGTGTTTGGTTAACTTAGAGTTTAGGATTTAAGTCTGTATTTAAATACACAGAATTAAGTGGTACGTAAAAAAACCAACAAGGCTGTGAAGTACAGCTTGCTGTAGAAACATTCTTTCTTTCATGGGCTAATTTCCTGGGCGGGTTTTATTTCCTAAAACCAGCATTTTAAAGCACCAGTCTTCCTTATCAGTTAAGTAAAGATAATAATACCTACCTCTTAGGATAGTAGTAAAGATCAAGTGAAAGAACGTAAAACCCATATACAGTGTCTGGCAGCGAGTAAGTGTTCAATAAATGGTAGCAATTACAATCCAATTACTCTGTTAACATTACCTGTTAGCCTAAGCTTTCAAAGTACTAAATGCCCCCTATACTTGAATATGGACTTTCAGTTAAATGGGTGTGGAAAACTCTACTTCTAATATTCTTTTCCTCTTGTGCCTCCCCCCAGCTCTGTGCAGGAAGAGGCAAAGCTGTTTTTGTGGTGGCACCAGGTCCTGCAGCTCTCGCTGATTCAGACAGAGCAGAACGACTCGGTCTTGACAGAATCTGTCATTCGAATTCTGCTCATGCTTCAGGGCAGGCAGAGCCTCATGGCTGAGGAGAGGCTCAGCTCTGGGATTCTGGGGGCAATTGGGTTGGGCCGGAAGTCACCCTTATCTAACAGGTAAGGAAGCCCTGCCACTGCTCTTACTAAACAGGCCTCCAGCATCTGCACTTACTTAGGGGTTGTGATACTTTTACAGGGTTTTTGACTTAGAAGCTAAGTTTTCCACAGACATTAAGGGAGGGGGAAAAAAAAAATCAGAGCCTGATTACATCTTTATATTTTAAAAAGTGTTTTTAGTTTTTCCTCACTTTAAAACAACTTTGTTTTTAAGTTCAAACAATGTTTTTTTTTAGCAGTATGTTATCTTTCTACTTTGTTACCCTACTGCACTACTGATTTCTTTTTGGCCTTGGGCTGGTAATGGCAAGCAAGGTTAGGTTAGCCAGCACTTTGTCATGCTGTGAGCTCGGGAAATGCAGAGCCCGGGAAGGACTCAGTACAGTAGAACTGGTAAGTTGTCAGGATGGGTTAAGGTCAGTTGGTAGGAAGGATAAGTAAAGAGAAATGAGTCTAGGTTTTTGTTGCTAAAAAATTCTAAAGCATGGAAGAATTTTCTGTTAATCTAATTTTATCTCAGAATATTTATGTATATCATGGTTTTCTTTTTCAAGTTCATATCAGTGTTGAAAAGAGTTCTCATACCACTCAGATGTCAGCATTCTTGTTGAGTAGGACATCGTATTGTTGCAACTTTGAGAACCACCAATCCAAACCCGTTAACATCATGTTTCATTGTTTATGGTAGAATTTAGCAGGACTGTGTGATTTTTGTTTCACTTGAATTGGGCTTGTGTGTCTTTCGGTTGAACGAGCTCTTTCATTTTTGAATCTGAATCCTTCTTGATCATACTTAAGATTTTCCTGAAGAAGTTAACAACAGTGACTCTAGAAATCTGTTTTTTGTTTTTTAGCAGAAAATATGGTGTTTAATTTAAAGGGCTTACCCAATAGTAATTTACTTCTGTCCTCCCCCTAATGTCTAAGGTTCCGAGTCGTCGCCCGAAGCATGGCTGCCTTCCTTTCAGTTCAGGTTCCTGCAGATGACCAGATTCGGCTGAAGCCTGGCTCTGAATTATATCTGACTCTGAAAGCTCAGCAGGTCAGTAAAAACAGCTTTATGATTCAGGGTTAGAAGTTTTCTACCAGATTTTTCCCAGAAGGTGGGGAGGCGGTAGCTCCCTTGTCTTTTACACCCCTTAGTAGATTCTCCTGACTAGAAAATGGTTACAGTATGTGCCCACCTCAAATTTTCAACCAGTGTTTTGGAGGCACTAGCCTCTAGCTCTATTACTGTCATTGTAGAAGCAGCAAGATGATAAAGAAGCCAGTCTGGGATTGGATTCAGTTCTGATGAACGTGAATATACACTGATCTGCCACATCCTGGGGGTTGGGAACTGGCACAGAAAATATGGCCAGAGTTGAGATTGATGGAGGTGAGCTGAGCTTTAACTTGAGACCAGTGAGGTGTTTCCTGTTTTGTGAGTCTAGAGGTTGAGCACTATTGGCTAATTGGTGTAACCTAACAGTGACAAAAAGGTAGCTGTAAGAAATTATAGTTTGTTCTAAAAACATGTGAGCCACATGGCAGTGGTCACATCCCTGTAGCTGTTTTTCACCTGTAAACAGGTTGGCCCTGTATAGCAGTGTACAGTATAACACTGGAGCCAGCACTCTGCACATGTGAGGTACCATTCTAAGTTTAACTCATTTATTCCTCATGACAATCCTATAATGCTTACCAGTACCAGTTGCCATCAAGTTGACTCCAACTCATGGCAACCCCATGTGTGTCAGAGTAGAACTGTGCTCCATACGTTTTTCAGTGGCTAATTTTTCGGTACATTGCCAGGCCTTTCTTCAAGGCACCTTTTGGTAGACTCAAACCTCCAGCTTTTCAATTGGCAGCTGAGCGTATTAACCATTTGCATCACTCCTATAACATCCAAAACCGATTGCCATCAAGTCGATTCCGACTCATAGACTGTTATTACCCTTGATTTACAGATGAGGAAATGGAGACAGAAAGAGGCTAAGTAACTTGTCCAAAATCACACAGCTAGTAAGTGTTGGGGTTGGGATTCACACCTGGCCAGTCTGGCTCCTCCAGGCTCACATTCTTACCACTTCGTTGCACTGTCTATCTCCATGGTAGATACTTAGACATCCTTCGCTCTTCTTTTGAAAGTGTTTCTTTGGCAGCTTTGTAATGTCTAAGCCAGCCACGTATAGTGTAATATCTTGGTTCTTAAGAGCAAGGATCAGACAGTACAGTCTGCAAGTTCTTCAGGGGCCTGGGTTTACAAAATACTGACACTTGAAACTAACTGGCGGGATGACTGCTGTGTGAGTCCCTAATGTCTTCCCCCCTCCGCCCCCAGTATCTTTTATGGAGCCCTGGTGGCCCAGTGGTTAAGAGCTCAGGCTGCTAACCAAAGGGTCAGCAGTTTGAATCCACCAGCCACTCTTTGGAAATCCTATAGGCCAGTTCTACTCTCTCCTATAGGGTCGATAGGAATCGGAATTGACTCGACGGCAATGGGTATTTTTAAAATGTCTTATATGGAATATCCCAAGCAGGCAGGTGAGTCTTCCAAGGGCACATGTGAAGTCAGTAAGCTGCACTTCAAGGTAAATTTGAGAAGTCAGAGAAGTGATAGCACCTGTAACTCTCCTGTGGCCACCATGTCACACACGCCTTGCATCTCTTTGCCTGCATTCCTTTGAATTTAAAATGATGACTCCCTGTGCATAGGCCTCCAGACTTATCATCAAGGCATTCAGACTTTTTAAAATAAAGTTATCTCCTTATGAAATGATTTCTCTTAGGCAAATGTCAAAGTAGATCATTTTGGAGACTAAACTTTAGAAAGTGAGAGAGCTGGGGAGAGAGGCAGGCATACTGTGATTCATGGGAGGCCTATCCTCACTGACTGCTGCTCTGAGATTAAACTCTGTTTACACAGCTCTTAACTTGGTATCAAAATCCTTTTGATTGTTTATTTTCAACCCAAAGACTTTTGTCTACAGCCCCCTGGTAATTTATTTCTGAGCCGTCAGTTCATTTACCATCCCTCCAAAAGTCCTCCTCCCTATTTCTTGAGGCAAGCAAATTCCAGCTGTTAATACATATTCTCTAGTGCATTGTTTCTCATAAATGGGAGGGAAGCCGTGGGATTGCCTTGATGGCGGACGTGTGCCAGGAGGCAGGGAACATGTTCACAGTCCTGGGGTGGGTGAGCTTGTACAGTTGGGAAACAAAACCCCACCTTCAAGAACCGTTGTTCTGGGTAGTTGTTAGTTTTCTCCACTTACCGTCTTTGCCCCCTCTTCTCCCACTGTACAGGGAAGAAAAATGTAAATTAAAAAAAAAATTTTCCTCTGAAGGAGTGGTGTGGAAACCTTTTCTTCTTTCTATGCTGTTTGTCAGATGGAAGTGGGAGAAATGTGATCTGATACTTGTTTGCTGATTGATTGACTTTGTTGTTTACCCTCAGTGACACTTTACAGCTGATGTCTTTAGAATTTAGTTTAGTTGAACAGTTGAGCATGACATTATTTTGTAACCTAAGAACAAATCAAACAGCATATCAGAGACGTTTCCCCTTAGCGAGATGCAGCTGGTCTTGTGACGGCAGTCCAGAGCCAAGAAGTACCACCGTCGGTCCTGCTGACTGTGGGTATGGTTGGGGCTCAGGGAACAGAGGGAAGCTTCACCCTGTCAGTGGGGCTTGATCTTTCGGGGAGGACTCAGTAGGTAGAGAATGAGGGTAAGACATGGCTTTAGGACCGAGTGTGGCAGGTGAGGAATATGGCAGCAAGACCACCCTGACCACAGCAGGGGCTCTTCAGGGGAGGGTTGGGAAATGGCACAGGACGGGGGAAGGCTGCAAAACCCAGAGAAGTTTGAGTTGCTGGAATCCTGGTTGTGGTTAATCGGGGCCTGCCTTCTGTACTCCTATTTTCAGTTCTCTGATTCACAGTTGTACTGGATTATAAAGGAAGGATGTGCCATACCTGCAGAAATCAAGTTAACCCTCTTATCTTCTGTGTCTTGTAGGCTCTGAATGCTCTGGAATCCATGACATCAAATAAGCAGTATATTGAATATCAGGATCAGATATCTCAAGCTGCCCAGTTTATAAAGCATCCTGGCCATTGCCTCCAAGATGGGAAAAGCTTCCTCGCTCTTCTTGTTAACCGTCTCTATCCAGAAGTGCATTATTTGGACAATATACGATAGTACACTGAGGCCTGTGGAAAATCCGTTGCTGTTTATGTTTACATTTAACTTTGCTGTTGCACAAGGAACTTTGCTCATTTTCACTGCAGAGCTCAGTTCAGCCAATGAGTAGTGACTGGGATGCACATCGGAGGCCCTGGAAAACTCGACTGTGCATGTGCACGTGTGTGCGTGTGTGTTTTATTAGCCCCTAAGACTTCCCTGGAACTTTTTAGTTTTTATGTCATCCAACAAGAGAAACTTAGTAAGTTCCACTTGGGGACAGCATCCCTCACAGTTGCCGAATTCACCAGTCATCTCACAAGACCCCAGGGTGGAGTTCTTTGTATGTCTCCACTTTTGCTTCCTCTGGTGTTGTTGAAATTTGAGGACTCCTGGGCCAGATCTAACTACTTTGGGCGTCATGTAGAAGCCTCACTTTTGAACCTCATTTGAGGTTTTCCAAAGTAAAACATACCAACTTTGAAAATGTCTGCATTTCTCAAAAGCGGGGACATACACCAGCTTAAAGGAATTGTGTTCTCTCTCTAAGAGGGGAGCTAAGAGTGCTGAGCTAGTCAGGAGCCACATCTATGACCACATGTCCTCTGTTTCCAACCACTGCTAACAATTGACAATACAAGGCTGGCATTCAGAGTGAGTCATTGTGTAAAATGTGACCACTTGATTCTGGGTGTAGCGTACCCCAGAGATGGTGACAGGTTCATCTCCATCCAGCTATGTGTCCTCATGGAGCAGGAGCCATCCGTCTTTGTCAGGGTGGCATGCTGAAGGTCTGTGATGAGAATCCTGGGCACAGTGTGTTTTCCTTGGTCCACGTGGTGGAGCGTGTAGGCAGGACTTACTCTCCGCTTCATTGCCATTATTCCATTCCTCTTGGTCCTTCTCCCAGCCTTCCCCTCGTTCCCGTCACTCACTCAGTTCCTGTTAGCATCTGAGTTTGTAACTCTAATAGACACCATGTTGGATATCTGAAGTCCCACTGCCAAGAGAGACTGAAGACTGGATGATTCTATAATCCCTGCTTGTTTCTTCATTCCCTATTTAAACTCAAAAGAAGATAGCAGACCTGTGGAAACATGTGTCCATAGAAATTGGTTCAGGGCAGGAGACTTGCTGAAGTTTGGCTTTTTCAGTAGCCGTGTGCTTTCTGTTGTTAACAACGCATCCATTACTAAAGCCTGTCTGTAATGTTGCCTTGTTCTGTCGCCCATCTTCTTGCTCATGTTGTTTCCCCCAGGAATTAGCAAATTGTCATCTGTCATCATATTCATAATTCTTTTGGCTCATAATTGATTTTATTGGCCAGCTTGGCATAATGTTTCTTTTGTTTATGGGTTGTCTATAGCCCAAGAACATTTACTGAAGAATGTCCAGTCACTGAGAGCTTATAGTGGGAGGCTAGTGATACAGGTTAATGAAGTGATAACCTCTTCTCAAGTCTTCTTTTGGAGTGTTCCCCAACATTTGGAAGTATGTAGGGGCTCTTAATTTCTGTAGTTGTACAGAAGAATTCCACCTCACAGACTGCTCTGGAGCTCTGATAAAGATCATCCCTGTTCATCCTCCCAAGTGTTGTCAACCCCAATGTCCACCTCAGAGTGGGCCTGTCTCAGAGCTTTGCTTTGTATTTGCTTCTTTGTCAGGTCATGTTTCTCCACTGTCAAAATTGGTCATCTTCCCCATTCAATGTGTATGGGAAATTTTAGAAGCTGTGGACATTTGAATGGTTGATTTGGCAACAGTGATATTATAACAGGAAATATTATTTTGTGTGCTGTTTTCTTTGAGGAGGATGTAATTATTGATATCCTAGAACATGAAATTTTTGACTGTACATTTTAAAGAAAATTATGACTAGTTAATTTTGAAAGTTTATAATATTTATAATGTATTTCGTCTGTAAAAACCATAAAAAAATAAAATCAACATTTGGTTGTAGCCAGTAAGAAACCAATTTATAGGCATATCACACTTTCTTGTAAAGCATTTCAGTTGTTGAAGTTGATGTAGATCTTAATGCCTGTTGTCTCCAAATTTATTTGACATTGTAACGATGATCAGAGATGGTCAGTGAAAGTACTCCCTCATTAACTTCTTCATGTTTAACATTGGAGAGTGTACTCACCGCCTAGGTTCTTGTGAGAGGCTCTGGGCTAAGAAAGTGCTTCAAAGACACTGAGATAGTTCAGAACATGACAATGCTGCTGTAGCCTTTTGGAAAAGAAGGCAGCGGGTGGACCAGCGTGCCCAATAGCTTTCAGGGGTAATGAGCAAAAATAGTCTGTGCCAGAGCGCAGGCAGCACCATTTCAGAAATAGTGACGTGTCCTGCAGGTAGATATCTGGACCAAGCTCAAAGCCTGCCTTGTGTGCTGAGCAGCGTTGAAGGTGAACTTGTGCACGTTCCAGACTCTAACCAAACAGAGACCATCAGCGGCATGCAGTTCTTTAGGTCTGACAGCTTCTGGGAGGAGGGGGAGGCTCTTTGGTCTCAATGAAAAGCATCTTTTCTGCTTCTCACCATTCCCCACTCTGGGGTATACAAAGGATGGGTTAGAGAATCAGACTTAATCCCCATTATCCATTGCCCCACCTCCTCACTTGAGAATTAGTGAACGACTAAAAGCTGGAAGGTGCAGGGCGTTGAGGGAGGGAAGTCTTTCAGATGTGTCTGCAGAGTCTGATGGTGGCAGCTGGGGAGCTTGGTCCCACCCATACATGCTTCCCAAGCTCCTACCACATTCAGGACCTCAACCCCGAGACATGGCTGATTTCTTATTTTCATGGTCAGTTTGCTGGCTCATTCACAAGGCAGTCAGTCTCCCGCTACTTCTCCGTCCCCTGGGTTGTGCCTGAGTCAGCATTTTGAAGTTGGGGGAATCCTAGTCCAGAAAACGAAAATCCACAGACCAGCCTAGCCTCACTTTAACCAAGTGTCACCCTCCTCATCCTCCCAATCAGTCACTAAAATCAGTGCCATCTATGTTGTACCAGTTAGAGTGTCCATGTCCTTTTTTCCCTTTGAGTGAAGGTAATTGTTATGAATTGTGTATCCCCAAAATGTGTGTCAACTTTGCTAGGCCATGATTCCCAGTATTGTGTGGTTGTCCACCATTTCGTGATCTGATGTAATAATCCTATGTGTTGTAAACCCTAACCTCTGTGATGTCAATGAGGCGAGATTAGAGGCAATTATGTTAATGAGGTGGGACTCAATCTGTAGGATTAGTTTGTATCTTGAGTTAATCTATTTTGAGATATCAAAGAGAATCAAGCAGAGAGGAGGGGGACCTCCTACCACCAAGAAAGAAGAGCCGGGAGCGAAGCATGTCCTTTGGACCTGGGGTCCCTGCACTGAGAAGCTTCTAGACCCAGGGTAAGATTGATGCCAAGACACAAGGAGATCTCCAAGGAACACTGAGCCTCTAGATGTTGAAAGGAGACAAGAACCTTCCCCCAGAGCCAACAGAGAGAAAGCCTTCCCCTAAGTTGGTGCCCTGAATTTGGACTTCTAGCCTCCTAAACTGTGAAAGAATAAATTTCTGTTTGTTAAAGCCATACACTTGTATTTCTGTTACAGCAGCACTAGATAACTAAGACAGTGATACACAGTTTTTTATTGGGCTTTTAATCGTAAAACTAATTATTTCTTCTGGAACCTGAAGCAAATATCATAGAATCATAGATTCTTAGTCAAAAGGGGTGTTAAAGCTCATCTAGACCCTCCTCCAGCAGGAATACCTGACAAGGGATCCTTCAGCCTCTCCCCGACCTGTCCCAGTGACTTACAGCTCATCCCCTCATGGGTAAGTCCACGCTGCCATTGGAAGGCTCTATTTGTAGTTCTGTCTGATATTGAGCTGAATTTGGCCTCCTGGTAACTTTGCCCATTGATCATGGTTCCATCTGGAGCAGTCCAGGTTGGGGTACTTTCTTGCCCTCACAGCAGATCTTCAGACATACTCAGATCTCATCACCTGTCTGACCCTAATCACCCCATAGTCCTCTCCAGGCTAGATGCCCCATGCCTTTAGTTAGTCCTCTTCCACCATAATAGTATCTCATAGGACTGCACTTTTGAAAAAGTACCTGTCCGTGTTTTTCTAAAAGGGCTGCGCCTGGGATTAGCAGGGCCAGGAGTAGGGTGAGGCAAGCGAGGTACCTAGGGTACAAAATTCAGGATGTGCTCATTTTAGGCATTTCTTTGCAGCGCCCCAAGAGCATGCCCTCTTACTTGTGCCCTAGATGCTTGGCTTGCCTCACCCTAGTCCCTGCCCTGGGGATTAGAGTCCCACTAGCTGTGGTCCAAGCAGTGTGGTCACACCCCTGGACACTTGGGCTGCATCATCTTTTCAGACAGTTGGCACATTGAGCTAGTGGCTAGTTCAAACTTCAGACTTGGTTTACATCAATTGCTGCTGAAGGCTGGTCTCATCCCACATTTGCATGATAGGTCTAACAATCGATAAGGCACTTTGCACTTAATCCTTACGAATTGTCTGCAATTGGTTTTGAGCCAACTTACCGACTTACTTTGAAGTAGTAGCTGATTATTTTCTGTTTAGTTAATTTTATCCCGTTAATCAAAATGGAGAATGTAATGTTGGGAAATAAGTATATTGCTTAAAAAAAAAAAAGTATACTCTTCTGTGATCTATTTGTATCTGAGTTGTGCTGGGTAAAGTTCTTGGCTTAGAGGTAGGCGCTGATACTGATTTGTTCTGGTCCATGATGATAGAACATGTCCTAGGCATTTGGCTGAGCATCGTTTGTCCTGCAGCACCTATACTTGAAGTTTTCTTCACTCTGGATAGGTTACTGATTTCTGATGACAATAACTCGAAAAAAAAAACTACTCCTACTTTGGAATAAAGAAGTTGCTAAGGAATGTTGTTGATTACTATAACTTTTTTTTTGAATGTACAGATGTAATATCTCTCATTGAGCACTAAGAGTTAGAATTTATTTTTCTTCCAGTGGTTTAAAATCACTTACGTGGAGACAAATATTTAAGTGCATTCAGCTCTTTTCCTTCCCACATGTATAGCGTGATCTTTAAAACCATGACTTTATTTTGGTCATTCAGCTGTGTGAGATTCACTTCTTGTTGTTCAGCATTTTACATGTCTACACACTGGAATTTTTATATCATAGTGAGAAGCAGGAAGAAATGGGAATTGGTTAAGTAAAATTCTGCAAATAAACCTGGTCCAGATTTGATTTACACATGGCAGACAATGTCTCGTTTTTGGCAAGTTGGTTGGCAGGTCTCATTTGCATCCAGAAATCACACTGAGAAAAGTTTGAAATGAGAAAGCGTGTAATGGGTAGAGTCTATGTACTGTGATGATACATCATCACAATGGGCAAGGCCTCTAGTTTCAAAGAGAATTTGAAACTTGGGGGTATAAGAATTGGCATGGATGGGAAGCCACCTGGTGATCCCAGAGAGGTCAGGAGAGCCTTTGTGAGTCTGTAATATGGCCGTGACCTTGGTAGGAGGGGGCCATGAAACCTGCACAAGGGCTTCTGCCACCTGATTTCCTGAGGTGGGGGAGGGCCAAGCTGCCAGGAAAAGGCACTGTAACCCGAGCATGGTCGTGGTTGGTTGTGGCAATCTACCTTCAGTGTTGGAATGCTAGGGAGTTCCTCCTTGCTGTTAATTTTCGCTAACATTTGTAAGACCCATCTTGGGTGCTGGTAATACCATAACTGAGGTTGACAAAGGGGTGAGAGGGTCTGCACATTCAGTTTAGGATTAACATCAATTTGGGATTTCCCAGGGTCAGAACCTTCTAGGTATAGGGTGTGTCTCCCCCACTTGTATCTTGGCTTGGCTTCTTTTTCCAGATAGAACCACAGGCTTTATGGGTGGGAAAGTGCCTTAGAGCTCAAGTTGTCCCACCTCTGCCTAGTGTAGGAACGAGGTTGTCTCCAGACCAGTGGCCATCCTTGCTGGAACACTAACTGAAGGTGAAGTGCCCCTCAGGAAGTGGTCCATGCCGCCATGGGCAACTCTGAGAATTAAGAAAGGTCTTTAAGGATGAAGGAGCCAACACCTTCCTCCAAAATTGGTCCTCTTTTGAACTCAGCCTTCTTCCCTCTTGATCTTCCCTTGCTGGCCTCAACTGTTCTAGGAAACAGACCCAGCTTTCTGGTCAGAGTCTGTTGGTCAGAGTGGACCAAAACAGTCTCTGGCCTGGACACCATATTTTAATAGAGCCTAACATTGTGGCTTACACCAGATTTACCTTGGAACCTCCAGCCTTCCCTGGTTGACCTGCTCTCTGCTACTTCCTCAATTAATCAGTCTTAAGGCTCCTCCCTCTACCTCCTCAACAGTCCCCTTCTGGTCTCTCCCCTTCTTGCTCCCATCTTCCTCTTCCTCCTCACTGATCCTGAGATCACGGCCAGACCTGGCTGCCCCGATGGAGGTGCAGAAGTGTGGGTCATTCAGGGACCTCCTGGGTAACCTTCAGCTTTGGGGACCCTTTGAGGTCTCTGCATACAGGACTTGGGGACAGCTGGGGAGGAGAAAGGTCTGGGGGCTGAAATCCAGGAAAACCCAGGGAGTCCCAATCCAAAATGTCTGTATCCTTGTATTGTCAGATCATGCTTTTCTCTTTTTAGTTCATAAAATACAACAAATAAAGAGAAAGGGGCATAGGAGAGGAGGAAAGACATGGGAGAGAAAACACTGGTAAGGAGAAGACATGCAGTGGAAGGAGCTGTGACCAGAGCCATGAGTTCTGGATTCCAGTTGCAGTTTTGTCACTAGACACGTGTGACCCCGGCCAGATCATTTTCCTCCCTGGGACTCAGTCCTCATTTTAAAATTAAGGTAATTCCTGCCTCGTCTTCTCCAGGGGTTTTAGTGAGAAGTATCTGAGATGACAGAGGTGAAGGGACTTTGAGGATGACAAGGGACCCCAGAAACATGAGGGGCTGTTACAGTTGTGGGGGTGGGAGGTGGAGGTTGGACCTAAGTGGCCAGGGCTGGAGCTGGGGACAAAGCTCAGGACTCCTAATGCTTGGCCTATGAGGCCCCTTCCAGCCTGAAGGCTGTGGGGATGGTATGATCCAAGCACTCACTGTGGCCCTGGCTCTCATCCACTCTGGCTAAGGGGATATACATGAAAACTAGGCCCCAACCGCATCTCCAGCCAAGTCCTCATCTTCATCTCCACGCAGGGCCTACCTTCATCATGGATTGTCTGACAGGAAGTTTCTTCTCATGTAGCTACCTCTAGTTTTACAACATGGGTTATCAGCTCCTTGAGGCAGGAGAAGCATGATGGACCCTTGGCGGACCTGGGGGGCATCTAGGCAAGGTCTGCCTCTTCCTCCCACTGCTGTGTCCCAGTCACTGCCTGCTTAAAGGAACCTTCTGGTGGGCGCCTGAGAATACAGGGAAGTGTGCTTGTCAGAGGCCCCTTTCGGAGAGGGCTTATGTTCATGGTGCTCTGTGCTGAAGAAGGGGAAGGCCCTAGCTCTGCATCCTGCCCCACACTGGGAAGTCCAGTCTTGAAAACACCGGGTCTCAGAAATCATTTCTCTCCTTGACTTTGTGGTCCCAGGATGTTGTGCTAAGCCTATGGCCCTGGTCCTTGCTTGTCAAGGACAGAGCCCTGGATGCTCTAAGAGGGTCAGATGGGGAAGGACAGGAAGGTCTGATCCACCCAGACCCCTCACAGTGACAATGCCAGGCACCAAGGCCAGCCCAGATGGCCAAACTCAGTCCCCTCACCACCTCCCTTTTCTTCCCCTAGGAGCAGCTGCTTCATCTGAAGACCAAGTAAGAATTGTTCAAGGGTGTGCCACAAGGTCCTCCCCCAAAAAACCCATTGCCATTGAGTCAATTCTGACTTACAGTGACCTTGTAGGACAGAGTAGAACTAACCCACAGGGTTTCCAATGCTATAAATCTTTATGGAAGCAGACTGCCACATCTTTCTCCCACAGAGAGGCTGGTGGGTTCCAATTGCTGACCTTTCAGTTAGCAGCCAAATGCTTTAACCACTCCCCATGTGTCTGAAATCACTCAGTCAGAGGGGCATCCCTTTGATGAATGGCACTTCTTTAGTTTCCAAGAAGCCCTACTTCAAAGTGCAAATATGCAGGAAATGCCACCCAATTGACAGCTTAGCACCCTTACACAATTATGCCCACAAGGTCAGGCCAACCCAGGGAGGGAGTCTCAAACTTGACCTTGCTTAAGAATCACCTGGAGTTGACTGGATCCTGGGTAGAAACAACAAACTAAAAAGACATATTGAGGACAATTTGGGAAATTTGAATAGGGACTGTGAGATGACATTACTGAATTAATGTGAGTATTCTCAAGTGTGATTGCGGTATTGAGGTTATGGAGGAGAGGTTTCCTGTTTTTAGGAGACTCAGCTAAAGCATTTAGGGGTGGAGTATTGTGCTGTTTGCAGCTTACTCTCAAATGGGTCAGCAAATACAGCAAAAATGTTCATAACTGTTTAACGTAGGTGGTAAGGACATGGGTGTCCTTTTTCAGCACTTTTTAATGTATTTTAAAATGATCATAGGATAAAGTTGGAGGAAACATCATCTGGAGAACTTGTTTGAAATTCCAGGGTCCCACCCTCAGAGCCTGCAACTCAGTAGGCCCAGGGTGGTACCCAGAATGTGCATCTGAACAAGCTTTCCAAGCGTTCCTGATGCAGGTGACCCGTGGAAGCCAGTGGGGGCAACACTGCTCTGAGATTCCAGGGTCCCAAGGTGGAAGCCTCAGCCGCAGAGTGTCCTCGGTCCGGAGAAGGTGGTCAGATGGTGAAAGTAGCCATGCCAAGCAGTGCAAGGAGGCCAGCTCCCTGCTCAGCACCTGGGGCACACTGATTCCCTTCTGGCACTCATTCCTGTTGGTGGCAGCACCATCTACCCTGACCTCTGAAGTCTGACCTGCCCACTGCTCCAGCCTCAGCTCTAACCCCATCCTATGTCTCCCTCACGCTCCAGCAGCCGTCACCTGCTTAAACGTCACACTGTGTCCCACCTCCTGGTCTTTGCTTAGACCATCCCTTCTGCTTAAAAGCCTTCTTACCTCCCAACCTCTCTTCGCCACCATTTACGTGGCCAACTTGTACCATCTCCATGTCTCTCCTCCAGTAAGCCTTCCCAAGACTGGGCCAGTTACCCCTTTCATATGCCCCCTTCCCATAGCACCCCTGCATACCTTTACTGTTGCCCTTACATGATTTCCCAATGTGCCCTTTGCTAGCATGAGAACTCCTAGAGCGTCCAACTGTGAAGTCAGCAGCGCTGTTCCCAAATGCTTCTGGCTTTCCCCCTTCCAGGTGCAACGTTGGGTTCCACTGCCTAGCCCCTTGTGGGTGAGTGGGGCATGTTGCTAGTTATGGCCAATGAGCTATGATTGAAAGTGGGAGACTGTTTTACTTCTGGCCCAGTAGGTCCCTGAGAAAAGCCCCTGCCGATCTGCGACAGGCGAGAAACAAGCCCTTACTGTTATCAACCACTGTGATTTGGGGGTTTGTCTGTTATTACAGCACAACATACCACCCTGACCAATGCTGCTGTTGTTGGGTGCCATCGAGTCGATTCCAACTCATAGCGACGCCATGTGACAGAGTAGATCTGCCCTGTACGGTATTCTTGGCTGTAATCTTTACAGAAGCAGATTGCCAGGTCTTTCTCCCACGGAGCTGCTGGGTGGGTTTGAACCCACCAACCTTTCAGTTAGCAGCAGAGCACTTAACTGTTGCACTACCAGGGCTCCTTACTCTGAGCAGTACACATGCCTTACTCATTTCTGTAGCCTCAAACACCTAGCCCAATGCCTAGGTCAAAGCAGACGTGTAAGAAATAATTTCTATCACTATTCCTCTTGACTGTGAAACTGGCCTCAAAGACGAGGCAGATGTTCCAGTACACACCACCCCTGTGTACTTAACTTCTTCCCTTGTGACACAGGACTCTCCATAAAGGTGCCCAGAAGTACCCCTGTGCAAGGAGTTACCATGTCGACTCCTCTGACCTCTTAGCAGCCCACACAGGCTCTTGCATGGATCCCAATTCACCCACAAGAAGGAGCTGCCATCACCCACTTGCCCTGGAGAAGACTCTGGCCGGAGCGGGAACTCGTAACCCCTGCCCTGCTCATTAACTTATGAAGATGGCCTCAACCTTTGGGCCATCTCCCCTGAAAAGCATCAGAGAGGACCCTATGCTTACTTTAGGTTAACATCCCAGCCTTTGGAAAAGTTCCAAAGAAAGAAAGTTTGTCCCCATTGGCTTTTCAGTCCCCCATCTCTGTGATGCTTTCCTCTTGCCAGCTTGCCTAGGTCCCAAGCTAGCCTGTGTATGCCCTCTTCTTAAGCCCCAGGCACTGCAGGAATGTGATCAACTAATTCACACTGAAGTGCAATAACCCCCCAAATCAGCCTGGCAGAACAAGGGAGAAGGGGGTGAGAATGCTAGTGCCTTTGAACTTGGCACATTTTGGAAGGATTCAGACTGCAGAGGGTCAAAGCTGCAGCTGTTTGATCCTCGGGGGCCCTGCAGGCCCAGGCCTCCACACAGGTCTCCCAGCTTCTGGTCCCTGAGGACAGTGATTGTCAGGAGCTTTGAGCTGACGGGTGTTTTGTTCCCTTTTCTCAGGGGCCTGAGCTCAAAGCAGTGCAGGGCAGCAGATGGGGCGTGAGGTGGGCAGAGAGTGTATTATAGTCCTGGAGGAGTCCCAGGAGCAAGGGCTCAAGGCCTCTTTTCCACACAATCCCAGAACTTGATGTTCCTCTGACCACAGATTTGCATAACCTCATCCCTGAAGTCCCATCCCCAGGCTTGTTCTCTGGAACCCACTGTTGTCGTCAAGCTGGTGTGCGGGCCACACCTATCCAAGACGTCTGTCTCTGCACATCCAAGGCCGCTCAGCAAGGAGGGCCTGCAACGCCCTCACATCTGTAGATGGCTTTGTATTTTCTGAAGCCCCTTCACATCCATGATTTCCTCAGATCTTCACAGTTCGCCAACCAGGGGGGAAGAAAGGTATTGTCCATGATCAACTGAGACCTAGAGAAGTGAAGAAAGTGTCCCAGTCCACACAGCAAGTTGGTGACGGAGCCAGGACATAGCTTGGCCTCCAGACTCCATGATTGATTTCCTGCCTGTGTTACTATGGTGTTCTAGGTCAGAATGGGCAAGAGAGCTATTTAGGAAGTTGCACACTGGAGCTCACGCATACATGCACGCGCGCACGCGCGCGCACACACACACACACACCCTTTCAAAATGCTGGACCCATTGACATAATATCACAGAGGCTTCGAGACAGAGTCATCCATGTAGGAGATCAGTTGAGCATCTGTGGGTGGGGTCCTGACTCCCTGGGGGCTGCCAGGCTGGGGGCTGCCAGATGCCAGGGACCTAACGGCTGTACCAGTCACACCTCCCTCAGCCTTCCCTCCTTATGGTGCACATGTAGCTGCCGGTGGGCCGAGGGGCTCATCATGGGGAACACACGGCTGCTGGTGGGCTCCGGGGACTCATCTGGCTCAAATTTTCATAGTTGGACTCCTGAGCCTGGGGCCTGTGGACAAGAGAAAGTTGACTGACCACCCGACACAGGAGGTAGGTCCCCACCTGCCCAACCACATCCCAGCAATGGGCCAGAAAGAAGAGATGAGACTGTGAGGCAGTGGGGCTGTGGGGCTGGAACCCACAGGACTTGGAGACTAACTGGATATTGGAGCCCAGGCCTAGTGGAATCCAAGGAATAGGGAAGGAAGGGGCTACCACTGGTCACAGAATCCCAGACCATAGAGTCTCTCATCTTCTCCACCAACAACCCCTCCCAAAGGGACTTCATCTGTGGCTTCCAAAAACAGCTCCAAGCCTCTGGCCTCCCACCTGAGCTCCAACTGCTTTCCTGACTTCTCTCTGGGACGTCTTAACAGGCATCTCAATCCTAAGTGTCCTCAGTGCTTCTTGTGATTCCCATCCCCACAACCTGCTCCTCCTCTGGGCCCATGGGAGTTCGGGGGCTAGTGGCAGGTGGGGTAGCTCACTTACCGTGGTGGGGTGTCCTGGGTGACTGCATGCTCTGTGTGAGGGACAGAGAAAGGAGGCGTGAGTCTCCAGCCACCATGCACTGCCCACTCTGCCCACCTGCCCCTACTCCACCGTGAAAAGTACAACAAACAGCAGCCTAGCAGGGTGGGAAGAAGTGCCATTTAAGCCTCCACTTGAAAGATGACCAGGAGTTAATGAGGAAAAGGGTGGAGGGAAAAGTGGTCCAAGAGAAGGAACCGCCATTCTAAGGCCCGTGAAGCACAAAATGCTTGGCCATTTGCAGAACCGTCAAGAAACCGGTGTGAGCAAGCCAGGGCAACTCTGACACATTTTGGATTTCATCCCAGGACTATCTGAGGCTAGTGCTGCTGACCTGGGGGTCTATGAGGCTCTGGGAAGTCCCCTCCCTGGGCACAGAGCAAATGTCCCATCCAGCTCAGCTATAGCAGTGTGGGACGAACTGCAGGTCTCTAGACACCCTCCTGGTCACCATCGACTGCTCTGCACATGCCACTAGGTATGCCATTCACCCTGTTTTCCTGCCTCGTGTCTCCCTATATATTTTAATTTAGTTTGCACCTTACTTCTTGGGTAAAGCCTTTCCTCCTGGCCCCTATCCAGACTGCCACCTGAGTGAGGCGCACCATCCTCTGGGCTTCTGAGGAACCTGGGTCTGCACTTCTCACAGCATAATGCAATTATTTGCTTACTCCTCAGCATCCCATTTGAGGGCAGGAGACCATGTCTTATTTATCTCTGTATTCCTAGCACTTACACAGCACACAGTAGTGTTCAAGATGCCAGCCATAACATAACTGAATGGTGCTATTTGGGGAAGCCTGCGGTCAGGGCCCTTACAGAGGAGTCATTTATGGGGTGGTGGCAAAGGTGAGAGTCCCTGGGTGGTGCAAACGGTTAATCCGCTTGGCTTCTAACCAAAAGGTTGGCAGTGCACGTCCACCCAGAAGCACCTTGGAAGAAAGGTCTGGTGATCTACTTCTGAAAAATGAGCCACTGAAACTCTATGAAGCACAGTTCTTCTCGGACACACATGGAGTCGCCGTAAATCAGAATCCACCTTGAACTGGTGACGGTGGTAGTGGTAAAGGGATATGCTCTGGAGCTAGACATGACCAGGTTCCAATTCTGTGGCTCTAGGCAAGAGGCAAATTATTTAAACTCTCTGAGCCTCAGTGTCCTTATTGTAAAATGGTGCTGGTGCTCACGCTGGTTCCCACTTCTTCGCTTTCATGCAGGGAGCGGAAGTGAGATGATGCGCAGGCGCAATACACGTTTTGGCCGTGTCAAGCCTGTTGGTATTGTTCGAGAGCCCCGGCCCTTTCCCCAACCCGGCCCGGCGCACCCACCTGAGCGGTGGCGGGCGGCGCGGGCGGCCAGGACACCGAACAACAACAGCACCTTAAGGCCGAGCGCGCCGAGCGGGAGGGCGAGCGCAGAGGCCCCGCTGGCGCCACGGAAACGGAACAAGTAGACGCTGGCCTCCGCGCGGCCCAGGCTGTTGGCGGCCGTGCACGTGTAGCGGCCGTCGTGGACCAGCTCCGGCAGCTCGGCTGTCACCTGGTGGCCGTGAACCGGGACCGGCACGGCGGCAGAGCTGTTGCCCAGGGCAGGGCCGGACCAGACGACGGTGGGCGGTGGCTCCCCCTCGGCCGTGCAGAGCGCGTGGAAGGCGTGCGCGGGGCCTGGCAGCACCGAGATGTTGACGATCCGCGGCGCGGCTGCGGGAGAGAAGACAGTGGTGTCACGGCCAGGGGCAGCCCCCCCCCCGCCCGGTCCCCTTTGGACGCTGGAGAGCTAGAGGGGCCGGAGGGGCCATAGTAGGGCGCAGAGAGGATGGAGTGCCACTCTGGCGCCAGGTTGCCTGGTGTGGCCATAGGTGTGGCCTTGGGCAAGCTACTCAACCTGTCTGTGCCTCAGTTTCTCCATCTGTAAAATGGGGATCATAATAGCACTTACCTTATGGGGGTGCTGAAATTTGGTACGCTAATACGTGTGAGGTACTTGGAATAGGGCCTGGCCCATAGAAGTGCCCAATAAAAGGTGGCTATTATTGTCCTAGTGCAGGGCCGGGGGCTGTCTGCTGGTGTGATTTCAACGGCATCTTCCACTCCCAGACAACCTCACCAAATTTTAGAGTTGAGATTGATCACTGACTCTGCTGGACAGTGCTGGGAGGTGTCCAACCCTGGAAGAAACTGGAATGCACTCTGAGAGGCAGACTAGCCAGGCCAAGGGCAGAGTCAGACTTGAACCCAGAACTCCTGGGTCCCCTATAGCAGGGGCTCCAGCATTTGTACAAATTCCCCAGGTAATTCCAATGTGCAGCCAGGGGTGGAGACCCGCTGCTCTAGGGACAGGGACTCTGGTTCACTCATCTCTGTACTTTGGTGTCTGACAAAGTGCTGGGCTCCCTGTGCACCCCTCGGGGGGGGGGGAGCTGTGGGTGCCCATCAGTGCACTCAGCACACACCCCATTGCAGCCCTTGCCATATTTAGGATTATTGTTTACTCATTTTTCTCTCCCTCTTGTCTGGGACCAGGGAGCCCTGCAAAGGTTAAGTGCTTGACTGCTAACCAAAAGGCTGGCAGTTCAAACCCACCTATCGGCTCCATGGGAGAAAGACCTGGTGATCTGCTCCTGTAAAGGATACAGCCTAGAAAACCCTATGGGACAGTTCTTCTCTGTCACATGGGGTCGCTATGAGTCAAAAATAAACTTGATGGCACCTAACAACAATAACAAGAAGCTATTGAGGACAATCATCTCTATGAGCTTCATTAAAATGCCTAATCCTAGGCCCCAGCCCAAGCCCTTCCTGGTGCCAGGATTCTGCATTTTTATTATAATTTTAAAATTTTATTTATTTTGTTGTTGAGAATATACACAGCAAAACATACACCAATTTAACAGTTTCTACATGTACAATTCAGTGACATTTATTACACTCTTCAGGTTGTGCAACCACTCTCACCCTCATTTCTGTGTTGTTTCTCCCCCATTAACATAAATTCACTGCCCACCTAGGTTCCTATCTAATCTTTTGAGTTGCTGTTGTCAGTTTGATCCCATACAGATAGTTCTTAAAAAAGCATAATGCTCAAAGCAGGCATTTTTTACTAGTTAAGCTAAATTATTGTTTGGTTTTAAGAAGACTTCAAGGGGTATTTTTGGTTTAAGGTTTAAAGATTATTTCAGGGCAGCAGTTTCAGGGGTTCATCCAGCCTCCCTGGCTCCAGAAAGTCTGGAGTCCATGAGAATTTGAAAGGATTCTGCATTTTTAATAAATTCCCAGTAGGCACATAATCACCTCCAGGTTTGAAACCCCTGCTCCAGAGGAAAGAGGCCGTGTATGATTCCCCATCCCATCCCAGCGGCTAGCTCAGTGCCTGCTTTTCGGACTGGGTCGCGAAGGGAGGGAACAAGGGACTGAGCCTGGTTGCCCCCCACGCCCGGCAGAGGGCGGCCCCGCGTCCCCGTCGCGCTCACCGGTCACGCGGAGCCGGACGCCGTGGCGGCTCTCGTAGCGGTCGTGGACGTCGCCAGCGAATTCCACGCGGCAGAAGTAGCGGCCGGCGTCGGCGGGGACGAGGCGCTCGACGCGCAGCGACAGGTCGTTGCGGCGCGGGTTGCCCAGCAGACGGAAGCGGCCGTCGCGGCTTAGCGCCGTCTGGCAGAGCTCGCTGCCCCGCGCGGCCGCGCAGCGGAACACCTGTGGCCCGGCGTAGGGCTCGTCTGCGCGCCAGATGACCGTCAGCGGCCCGGCGTAATGCGAGTGCGGGTGTGTGAAGGTGCAGGGCAGCACGGCCGCGTCGCCCGCCACCGCGCTCACCTCCGCAGGCACCTGCATGGACCAGCGCTGCGAAGGCGCGCCTGCGGGTAGGGGGCACGTCAGCCCTGCCAGGCGTCGAGGCTGGGCCAGGGGCCCCTTCCGTGGGACCCCGAGGCACCCCTGCCTCCCGGGGCGTGGAAACCCACCCCAGGACTCGGGAAGTGACCCCCTTTCCCAGGGTCTGGAAACAGCCCAGGACTGTAGAGGCATCTCCCGCGGCGTGGACCCCTATGACTCGGGAGGTGCCTGGGCACCACCACCCCTTCTCTGTGGTGACTGTTTGCTTCACTCAGGGTGGTTCCTACCCCACCTACAGGTCCCATACTCGTCCCCTTAGTTTTTTCCACAAAACCAACCCTGCTGCGGACCTCCCCCCTCCGGAAAAGCCCTGCCATCCCGTGGGTACAGTAGAGCCCCCATGGCCCGCAAGATAGATGGTGATAATTATAAAAGCACTTACTGTACGCCTCTGTGTTGAGCGAGTTCCTGGTAGTATCTCTTTTAGTCCTCACAAATGATTCTAGAGGTAAGCATAGTTATCCCTGGATTACACGGTAGTAAACTGAGGCACAGAAAGGTTGAGTAACTGCTTGAAGCCACACAGCTAGCATGAGGCAAGGCTGGCATTAGAACTCAGGACTGCCTGACTCCACAGTTGGCATTCTAGTGCACTAGCACACGGAATCTTGGTGCTCATCCAAGGAGACCAACACTCTCATTTACAGAGGGGGAAGCCGAGGTGCAGGGTAGGGACACTATGATTTGAAGCTGATGTGCTGAGTTGATGGCCAAGACTCCTCTAGAGTCCAGCTCAACTCAAGTGGGCTTTGTGTCCTCACCTACTAAATAGTGAGTCGTGAGGTATGGTTGAGCCAAGGTCTGAAGGCTGAGCTCTGCCTCCAGCCAGCAGAGAGAACAGGTACCCCCATGCTGACACATATGTGTGCTGGTTTGGGGGAGAAGTGAGCTGAGTGGGTGGGTGGGTGTCAGTGCTGGGCTTTAGGAGTGGTGCCTCCTCCAGGGAGCAGAAGCCTGCCTAGCCAGTGCCCCAGCAGCAGTTCATGTAAAGGATTGCAGCATCTTCAGAGGGAATAATACAGCAGTCTTTGGATTCCCAAAGGGCTTTACAATTCACACAGTTTTCTCCTATACAGCATGTCGCAGGACCCTCAGCAAACCCAAGAGGAGAAGGTATTGCTATAGACAATGAGAAAATGAAGGACCAGAGTCACAGGTAGGTGAGAGAAACCCAGCTTTTCTGGCTCCAAGCCCAGTGCTCTCTTGAAGTAATTTAGCCCAACTCACACCTTGAGCAGGAATCCCCCAGTCCCTTGCTGGCAGGCCACTCCCCCAGGAGCTCATCTTATCTAAAGACTATCTACAGTTCAGGGCATTCTACTGCTACATGACTGCCATTGCTCTTTGGAGGGCGTCCATCCTCCTGACGGCGCCCTAGTCTCCCATCGTGGCTATTCTGGACCTGGTCAGCCTTCCCTCTGTTGATTAAAAAGTTTCAGTCCCTCACCTGAGCCTCCCTATCCTTAGCACCCTCTGTACTCTCTGTAGTGTCCTGCGTGGGTGGCCCTGGGTGGCTCCAGGTGTGGCCCCAGGTGTGCTGGACCAGCCCAGTGTGGTACGAGTCCAACAGTGCTGCCTCAGTTGGTATAAACTGTGTCCTGAAGTAAAATCACACTTGAGGCTCATGCAGCTTGCAACTGAGTAAAAGTACGAGTTTGTTTTTTCACACAATCTGCTTTAAAGCCAAATCTCTCTTATTCTGGACAAGTGGAATTGTGTTTTTGAACCCAAATGGAGGACTTTACATTTAGCCCTGTTAACAGCGTGTTTGCTCAGCTGTTAATAGTCTGGGGGCCTAGTTCCAAACTTGAGAAACGCTGTCTGGTGTTTTGCCAGTTCAGTCAGTACTTCAGATGTAGAAAGCATCTCCCTCATTTTGAGGCCCAGCCCTGCCTCAGTTTCCCTACCACTTCTACCCTTTGTGACCTCGGCCTCCTTTGACCTCCTGCATCTTGCTGACATCACATGGCCAGGCAATGATTCTCCACCTATTGTTTGCTAACATGCATTCATCATTTCGGCAAACATTTATCTGACATGCCCCCACTCTGCGCCAGGCACTGGGATGGAGCTAGGGTTACAAAGATGGACAGGACCCCTTATCAGGCTGCTGGGGCTCACAGCTCAGGGCAGGAGACAGATATGTGAACACATAATTACCCACCAGCCTGCCAGGTGTGTTCATGAAGGACATGAACAGCGTTCCCTCTGTGTGAACATGGGTCCTGGCCCATTTTCACTCACCAGCTCCCTCCTATTTCCCTCATGTCTCCATGAAGTTGTTTTACAGGAGGAGGCCTTCCCTGAGCCCCAAGCCAGGGAATGGTGCTCCTCTCTCTGCATAGGCGTTGCCTGTTTCTCTGTGTCTCACCCACATGCCCAGAAGCTCTGGGAGGGCAGGGACCATGTCTGTGCAATCATTTTTGTGTTGCTACTACCCAGCACAGGAGTCCGTGGGCGGTACAAATGGTTAAATATTCCACTACTAGATGAAAGGCTGCTATTTGAACCCACCCAGAGGCACCTTGGAAGACAGGCCTGGCAATCTGCTTCTGAAAGGTCACAGCCTTGAAAACCCTATAGAGCGGTTCTACTCTGCACACATGGGGTCGCCATGAGCTGGAATCGACTCGAAGGCAACTAACAACAGCATTGCCCAGCACAGTGCTTACCATACAGTAATTGATGTTGAATTGAACAGAGAACAGAAAGGAGGGTGGTCATGGCTGGCAGGAGAGGGAGACAAGGAGTTGAGGTGGTGATATGCAGATATTAGGTAGAGACTGGAGAACCTGTGAGAGAGGAGATGCCATTTCAGCAGTTTTGCAGAAAAAGTGGGGTTTCACTAGACCCTGAGGTGGATATAAGATATTCTAGGCAAAGGGATGTCTTCCTTTAGCAATTGAGCCCTCCTGATGATGTGTCCAAAGCAAGCAAGATGGACAATGCTCTGTTGTGATCCACTGGGTTTTCACTGGCTAGTTTTCACGAGTACATCACCAGGCCTTTCTTCCTACTCTATCTTAGTCTGGAAGCTCTGCTGAAACCTGTCCACCATGGGTGACTTTGCTGATGTTTGAAATACCAGTGGCACAGCTTCCAGCATCATAGCAACATGTAAGCTACCACAGTACGACACACTGACAGACGGGTAGTGGATGGATTTGGACATGTTGGCGATTGTGAGGATGACATAGGACTGGGCAGCCTTTTGTTCTGTTATACATAAGGTTGCTATGAATTGGAGCTGACTTGGTGGTAGCTAAGAACAGCAGGCAAAGGGAACAGCATGGGCAAAACCATGGAGGTATGGGCGCCATCAGAGATGGAGCAGGGCGTGATGGCATAAGGAGGCCACAGAACACAGTGCTTTGGGAGATCACTGGGAGACGTTCCTCATATCATTTAATATGCACAACAACCCCATGAGGTACCATGATTAGCTGTCTTTCAGAGAAGGGGGAACTGAGGCATAGCGAGCCCAAATCCTTGACAAGGTCATTTGCCTAACCAGAAGCAAGAGTGCAGGCTTACCCCAGATAGCTGCCTCCTTTGGTCATGTTCTTACCTTAACCCTTACACTAGGTTGCTCAAGGACGACAGCTGAGTTTGGAAACATCCCAAAGTGTGATAAATAGCAGGCCTGGGTGGGTTGTGCTCTGGGAGCAGAAAGGGAACACAGAGGCTCTTTCACCAAGTGCTGCGATCTTGGCCCCTATCAGATTTGTGCTTCCTGCTTACCTGATGAGCAGTGTTCAGAGAGGTGGGCACTTGGGCTCCCTCTCACACAGGAGCCTTCTGATAAGCCCACCCAGGCAACTCAAGGCGAGAGTGGGAAGGCCTGGGCAGGAGTTACTCAGGGAACACATGCATTTGCCATGGTGGGAATCCAAGCTCCCCAGCATCCTGTGACATTTACCGTCCCCCTTGGCAGCTCATCATGTCTCCTGGGACAGAGGAAGGATGACTTCTGAGCTAAAACTCTATGACCCCTCATTAAAGGGTCTCTCATATCTGTCAACCTCTGAAGGTCAACAGAAGGTCCACATTCTTCCCATTGTCCAAAATGCCTCCCCTCAATGGTGGGCCGCAGGGCTTGTGGAAAGCATGCTAGCTTTGGCACAGCTGGACTGGGTTGACAGTTCCACCTCATTCTTTTATCTGTGCCTGCCACTTGCTCTGGGATCACTCACTCACCCGATCACCTTTGGGCACATTACTTACTCTCCCAGGTCTCAGGCATCTCTGCTTAAAAATGAGGAACGTACTCCCTCCGTCCTAGGATTGGGGACTGGATGGATGACCCCACCTGTGTAGGTCACCCAGCACAGTGCCTGACACAGCACACGCTCAGTAGACGTTGGTCCTCTTCCCTCACTAGCCAACCACAGCACACAGGATGTCGACTCTTCCAGCTGTATGTCTACCAGGGGCCTTTGGAAGATGGAAGATCCTTAGCAGAAGTTCCCCCCTCAACCAACACTGGGAGGCATGCCGTGATAATGATGGCAGGGGCCCCTGGTGGGCGCAATTCTATGATGGCCCCAAGATGTTCTACCCCCTGGTATACATGCCCGGCATAATCCCTGGGATCCTGAATAGGATGATGTTATTCCCAGGATTAGGTTAGTTTATACAACACGGTTGACTTTAAGTTAGGTGGGTCTGACCTAATCACATGAGCCCTTTGAAAGCACAGTTTCCTCCAGCTGGTAGCAGATGGAGAGGTCAGAGGTGCACTCCTGCTGGCCTGGAAGAAGGCAAACAGCTATGTTGTGACTCCTGATGGAGGGGGGCGGCCTCTAGAGCTGAGAGTGGACTCCTACCACCTTGATTTCAGCCTGGTGAGACCCTGAGCAGGGAGTCGCTAGGTGGTGCACATGATAACTCACTCGCCTGCTAACCAAAAGGTTGGAGGTTCAAGTCCACCCAGAAGCACCTTGGAAGAAAGCCCTGGTGATCTACTTCCAAAAAGTCAGCCATTGAAAACCCTATGGAGCATTCTTCTACTCTGACACACACGGAGTCCCATGAGTTGGAATCGACTTAAAGGCAACTGATTTTCATTAAGACCCTGAGCAGAGAACCCTGTCTTGCTGCGCCCAGATGTCTGGCCTACAGAACTGTGAGCTAATAAACAGGTGTTGTTTTAAGCCACTAAGACTGTGGTAGTTTGTTACACAGTGATAGAGAACTAATTGTTGTTGTTAGGTGTCATCGAATTGATTTTGACTCACGGCAACCCCGTGTGACAGAGTAGAACAGCCCCATAGGGTTTTCTAGGCTGTAATCTTTATGGGAGCAGAAGGCCAGGTCTTTCTCCCTCGGAGCCGCTGGTGATGTATCCATTTCCACTTTCTGTCCTTGGAAGGGAAGTCCTCGCCAGAATGTGTGATCACGCGTGCCTGCGGAGTAGAAGTGGGGGGGGGGTGTGCTAACCAGCTGTGGAGAGGTGCTCTGTCTGGGTCTGTAAGTCAGAGCGCTGCAGCAGGGTGTTAAGACATTGATCTCCGACATTCACATCTGTAGCTCAAGATCTTAGATCATGTGAAATACCATAGCCCACTCCTTGTCCTTAACTCACTGGAAAGCTAGTCATTTATTTATTCACTCATTTATTCCCTCCATAGACGTTTATTGAGGGTCTACCATGTGCTACCCAGCAGTGTCACGGAAGAAAGACCTGGCTATCTGCTTTTGTAGAGAAAATCAAGAAAGCCCTATGGATCAGTTATACTCTGTAACACATGAGGTTGCCATGAGTCTGAATCGCCTCAACGACAACGGGTTTCAGTTTTTCGTTATCGCGTGCTAGACGCTGTGCTGGGTGTTGGGGATACAGTTACAGTGACAATTAAGACATTAGAGGATCTCTCAGCATATTTAGAGTCTGGCTATTGCTCAGCCACTACTTGCTTTTAAATTATACAAAATTCTAACAAGTTTATTTGATTAGTTCCTCAGCTCAGGGAAATACAGAATGAAAAGCTGGAAAGTGGTTTCTGTTTGTAGGCCCATTGAGAACATCGAGAAATGACAGCTGACGTTCAGTCAGGGAGGGAGGAAGGGTTCAGTAAAAATAATGAAAAGGTGGCTCAGGGCAGAGTTGTAAAAGTACAGCAGTCTGGAGTACAGTAGAGCGGAAGTAAACAAGGGGCCTTGAAACATCACGCCATTGCAGCAGGCTAGCACAGAAGACACTCAGGTAATGATCCTGGGAACCATAGGTTCATTGCCATGAGGGGCATCCTGTTTCAGTGACAGGTGTCTCAGATGGGGTGTCAGGGACTTGGCTCTGGCACTGACTTAGTCACCTTAGACAAGTCCCCGCGGCTCTCTGTCCTCAGTAGGTTCATCCATGAAATGACATCTAAGATTACATATCGAAAAAAATATATTTGGATAAAAATGACAAGAAAGTACCTAACACATTTTAGAAATACGTCTATCTGAAATAAATAGAAATAAAAGGCTGTTGTTTGTTGTTGTTGTTACCTGCTGTCAAGCCAGCCTCTGATTTATGGGAACCCCATGCGCAATGAAACAAAACGCTGCCAGGTCCTGCACCATCCCCACGATTGGTTGCTGATGGCACTGTTCTATTGTGTAGTGCCTTCCAATCTAGGAGGCTCATCTTCCAGCACTATATCAGACACTATTCTGTTCTGATCCATAGAGTTTTCACTGGCTGATTCTCAGAAGTAGATCCCAGACCTTTCTTCCTAGTCTGTCTTAGTCTGCAAGCTCTACTGAAACCTGAACAGCATCAGAGCAACACAAAAGCCTCCACTGACAGACGAGTAGTGGCTGTGCATGAGGTGCATTGGCTGGGAAATGAGCCTGGGTTTCCCACATGGAAAGCGAGAATTATACCACTGAACCATCATTTTAGACTTTCCGGTGCTTACAAATGAACCATTAGCTATCCAGAAAATTCAGCTAACCCAGTGAGCCCTATCCATGCCTCGATGTTCCTGCACAGCCATTTATCAGACTCTTCACCATAAGCCCCTTTATGCCTTGTTGTGATGACTGATGTTAATGGGGAAGTGCTGGGGCACAGCATTGGGTAGCAGCTCCCACACAATCATAATCATGAATCAGCTAAGGATTAGTTGACTGACCCTGGACCTAGTATCCTAAAGCACCGTCCCAGTGGTTCCAGGCAGGAAGAGAAAGCATAGGAGACAGAAACACATCTGCAGACCATGGCGGGCAGAAGCAAAGCTGGACAGCATCAGAAATAGAAGTCATGGTTTGGCCTCTGCTGACCGAAGATTTCCACCAGCTCCTTGGTGAGGAAGGAAGCAGGAGCTTGCCAGGGAACCTCTCTGTAGATCGTTTGTGGTGTGTTGTATGCAATTATGCTTATGTTAGCCATTGAGAACACTGAACATCCGTTTCTGTTGCTGATGTTCTCATAATGCCTGGAGTTAAAGGACCCCTCCAGGGTGTCGCAGACCGGAAAGCCTGGTGGTGGTCACAGTGGGGCAATGGCCAGAGGGGGCACCCCAGGTGTCTTCAGCCTCTGAATGGCCCTTTAACAAGAATTAGGTCTGCTGGGGTTGGCACCAGGGAGGGAGAAGGGTGCTGAGAGTAGCAAGGGGTGTTGGCTAGGACAGATTTCTCCCACTTCTCTTTTGTCAAGGGCGTGCCCCTAGGCCCCACCCTCAGAGACGTGCACAGGGCGGTGACCGCCCTGCAGGCCGCATGTTAGACCACCAAGCCCCCTGGGGCTCTCACACTGCAGAGTTAAGCTAAGCCTAGTAGGGTGGGGGGGACCTCCTGCCCAGACCTCTGTGGCTGAGCCACGTGGAGAGGCTCCCAGATGAACAGCAACCAGGAGGGGTTCAGAGTGAGGACCTCTGCTTTCTGTCAGTTCCAGGGCCTTGTGGTTTAGCCATGGAGCACTGCTAGTGTTGAAGTGCTGTGCTAGCATTTATAAGCCAGCCCCTCAGTGTGGCTCGGCATCCCTGGGTAATCTCGACACACAGCTCGGGCATTTGTGTGGTTTGCTTTTTCTCTTGAATATATGACTCTTCATTTTTCTTCTAAATCTTTTTGTCTTTGATTGATTCATAGCAGCTGACCCTCAACAGGAGAAAAAACCAAACCAAAACACCCCAAAGCCTAGGCATTCTCAAAGCTATGGGACGTCGGCAATGCTCGCTCTCTTTTATTGCACAACTACTGAGGACCAGGAACTCGCTTGGTGCTTCACCTGCATGATCTAATACTTCCTCCAACATCACCACCCGGTATCAGTGACTCCATGTTACAGGGCTCAGAGAAGTTAGGCAACCTGCCCAGGGCCACATAGCTAGTAAATGGCAGAGCCAGGATTCAAAGTTGTGTCTGATGCCAACACTCGTGTTCTTAATCACTCTCCTATTTGCCACCCCTGTTCTGGGCAGGGCCACCTCTTCCAGCCCCCAGGGTCTAAGTGGGACCCATTCTGAATCATCCCAGAAAGACGGCTGAGCTAGGTCAGGTTAGGAAAAGATAGGCCCTTCTCATCGGCACCCACGGCAGGGCTCTGTGCATGGGATAATGGGCAAGATGATGTGGTGTGGGGTATGGGTCTATCCCAACCAGTTGCCTTTGAATCGATTCTGACTCATGGTGACTCCGTGTGTGTCAGAGTAGAACTGTGCTCAAGACGGTTTTTAATGGTTGATTTTTTTGATAAGTAGATCACCAGGCCTTTCTTCTGAGGCACCTCTGAGTGGACTCAAACCATCAACCTTTTGGTTTGCAGTCAAATGCTTTAACCATTTGCTCCATCCACGGATTCCAGAGTCATACCCACCCGGGTTCAAATCTCAGTTCTACCCTGGACCACTCACTTAACCTCTCTATGCCTCAGATTCCTCATCTGTGTAAAGGGAATAAAATAGTTCCTTTCTCATAGGATTCAAGGCTTAAGTGAGTGAATATATTAAAATGCCCAGCAGTCAGTAAGCGCTTTATAGGTGCTTGCTGTTACTCTCCAAACCAGACCCACACTGGGCTCTGCTGTGCTAAATGCTAGAGAGGAAGGAAGTGGAGCCTAAGTGTGGGAGTTTATAATCCTGTTGTGGAGACGGGACCCAGTGCGAGAAATGTGGGCTAACAGCTCGGGCCGCAATGATGTCAGCAATGTCTCTATGTGGCATATGATAGCCAGTGGCTGTGTGCACGGTAGCATGGCTGCTGAGCACGGTCATGAAAAGGACGTCAGGTTGGGGTTGAGGGAAGACTGCGACCTGGAGAGAGGCTGACAAGAATCACAGCTGTCATTCATCCCAGTCGCCCTCAACTGTACATCAGAATCATCCAAGAGGATGGTTGAAAATGCAGATCCCTGGTCCTGCTGCCTGATATATTCTGATTCTGCAGGTCTGGAGTGGAGCCAAAGAATCTGCATTTTAACAAATGCCCCCTCCTCTGGGAATCTGATGCAGATGGTCTGTGACTACCCTTTGAGAGACAGTGTTCTGAAGGACACTCTAATTCACTGAGCTAAGTGACCAATGACGTTGTGACTTAAGCCTGCCACAAAGAGTTCCCAAGGTCCCAATAGGGTTCCTGCTGAGAGGGCAGGGTGACCTCTATCCCCACATGAAGTCATCCCCTCCCTTGCCCCCAACACTGCCCCCAAACAACCATGTGCGCTCACCCCCTTGTACTCAGGACTGTGCCCATCAGGACACAAAGCACTTCAACAACAGCAACACTTTAACTTTGTTCAGAGCTTGAACCATTTAAGGCATCTCCTTGCTCATGACCCCCTGGATTCGCACAGCAATGAGTGAGGCAAGCAGCTGGCAACATAAGGCTGAGAGAAGTCAGGGGGCTGCCTCAAGAGTCATCTGGAAATCCAAGGCAAAGTCCAGATTTAAACTTGTGGCTGCTGTGGCCACAGTCCCCCAGAGTCCAGCTCTTCCTCCTCCACAGGCCTGGAGGCTCTGGGCAAACCTGGCTGCCCATGTTTCAGGGGAGAAGACCATGCCCAAGACTTTCTAAGTTTTTATTCTGTTCCATCATGGGCCAGAGAACGCAACGAGAAACTTACCCGCTGGGACGATGCAGGCCACGCAGACCAGGAGTTGGATGGGTACTTCCATGCTGCCTGAGCATCTGGGGACCCCTGGACACACCCACACTCGGTCAGGCCACCAGCGAGACTCTCCTTGGCGTGGGTGTGGGGGAAGCAAGGTGGGAGGGGATGAGCAGTGTGCCCAGGTCTGCAGGCCCCCCTGGGCTCTGCCGGAGCTGGAGACACTGGGGAGAGGAAGCCAGGCAGCCAGAGGTCTGATAAGATGAGACCCGTGGGGCTTAGTCATGTGGAAAACCAAGAGGGGAACTGCTCGGATGATCTTCCAGGACAGGGAACAGGGAAGTGGACGGGGTGGATGTGGAATCCATTCCTGTGGCCACTGGCGGCTTTGAGAAAACTGTTGTTCATATGCTGACCTTCCTTCCTTCTTCCCTCCCTTCCTTCCTTCCTTCTTTCCCTCTTCCTATGTTTTTAGTGTGCCAGGATAGGTTTCCTCTTGCTTTACCTCCTTTTCTCTTCTTAATTCTCTTCTGGCTTTGGCAAGATGGGGAAAGAGACCGAGAACAAGAGACTGCCAACATAATAACTCATTGAAGTAAGGCTATGGAAAGTTCTCAACTCTTGCTTCCAGGGATCATCTCCCAAATAACCTACTACCCCTAAATAAAATGCATTCAAATCCTCTATGAAGGTCTGCTTCCAGGGAGCCCAACATAAAGCACACAGTCAGTTTCTGTCTAGTTGATTCCCACTCATGGTGACACCAAGTGCTTCAGAGTGGAACTGCTGCACAGGGTTTTCAATGGCTGTTACCTTTTGGAAGCAGATGGCCATGGCTTTCTTCCAAGGCAGCTCTCGGTGGATTCAAACCACCAATCTTTTTGTTAGTAGTCAAGTGTTTAACCATTTGCACCATCCAGGGGGCTCCAGACACATAAGGGGTGTGACTTTTAGGAAGAGTGATTTTTATTTTATTTTATTTTTTTTTATTGTACTTCAGGTGAAGGCTTACAGAACAAATAGTTTCTCACGAAACAGTAGTACACATGTTGTTTTATGACATTGGTTAACAACCCCACAACATTAACCCTCTAACTTCTCAACCT